TATCTATCCATGCAAAGTGTTCTAGAAACATTGAATAATTGCATATAAATTGTGCGAAAGAAATACCTATTTTTATTTTACTCTACGGCAAAATTAAAATGTGTTGAACATTTTTTAAACGTCTTTATTTTGATCTTGGAAATAAGAATAAAAACCTATATTATGCCTTCTTTTCCGAAATAAAATGTTTTGTGAGCATATTTGCGTCGTCATTTTGCTATATCAAAATTTTTGAAATAATTATTTAAAATTAAGGAATGTATCTCCCTCATGCAAAGCTCTGATTCCGTGCCTGATTTTGGCTATTATTGTTTGTCCTTTTTGGTTTATAGCTCTTCATCCTTTTAATAAGCTTTGGATTTTCAAATATTTTGGCCTCGAGCATCACTGAAGAGACATTGATTGTCGAAATGCGCATCTGGTGCAGAAAAATTGGTACCGTTTATGTTATTCATATCCTTGAGAAATATTCTTTTCATATTCATGTGACATTTAATTGTGGCCTTTGTATAGTCAATGATTTGAACTCTGGAGAATAGTTGTCTCATTCGCAATCATTACACATCTTCTTATTTGTATAGTATACCCTCGTGTGTTGACTTAATGAATTAATGATACGGTCTTTTTTTTTATTTAATTCGATTAGTGCATTAATCTTCTTATGCCTTTAATGGGAACGAAGCTGCTCACGTCTTCAAATATTCCGACATTCTTAGCCTTGATTTTTGGAGGTTTTGGCGTTACCGGCTGAAATTTATCTAGAATAGCGCTTCGGATGCGCCACATTTATATAAGGTTAATTTCAAATACTATTGATCAAAACGTAAAACAGTTAGAATCAAACGTTTTAGGTATTGGAACGTTACGATGAACTTTTTGAGACGATCTTTGACAAAATCCTGGCTCATAACGTTTTGCTCAAACACTGATGGCGTTTAACAAAGTCTGCATAGCACCTGCACGCTCTTGAATAACGTATGAGTTGAGAAATGTATATTCCATTGGCTTGTAAAGTTTTATTGCTGCCACGGCGAGGAAAATTTATAGTTTCAAAATTGAAATCGTCTCGTTCGTCATAGATTCTAGTACTGGGGTGACTACTGTTGTCAAATTCATGTTATATAAAATTAACACATCAGTTATAAATGGCCTGACTCGGCAGATTGCCACTATGTACCAAAAAACTAACATAAATCAAAAGACACAAAATATCGATCGAAAATTCGTTGATTATTTGAATGTTAGTGTAAAAGCCACTTTCAGCAATATTGTCTATATCATGTCGATAAGTTTTTATTGGTGTAGGCAGCCGGAAGGAAAGACGACCTTCGGCAGGAGAACTTGCAATCCTAGTCAATTGACAAAGGAATCGATAGCACCCGCCATGGGTAGCATTCGAACACAAACTCAGTGTTGATAAGTCATATGGCAAAACTTGGGATATTTTGCTAATTTGCATAGCGGTCGTATTGCCTTATCATGACGAGAGCCATTTAAACAGAATTATACATGCACCTAAAATAAAAATGCAAAAATGCCAATTCCTATGTCGAATCAACAATTTGACCGCATATATATAGGTGAATGTTACATGTTTTTGCCTTCTGTCCGTGGACAAATGAATATTATCTACTTTGAAAACATTCGGCCTATTTATTTTGAAAATCGGAAGCTTAACAATAGTATAATTGCTATATAAAATAACGAAAAATTGTAAAAAAAAAGCAAGATTCAAAATAGAAATAAAGATACCAGAAGAGTTTGTTCATGATTTGTCCGTATATAGGAAAACACCTTGCAGGTTGAATTTTCAGGTTAAATGAATTTATTTCCACCTGTTTTCTTAAGTTTTCGGCAAAATTCTTTTAAAACATTATGATTGCATTCTTCCAATTCCGTAAATGGTAAATTTCACTACATTTTTATTTTTGTAAATATCCGCCAACAGATGTTTTCAAAAAAACACATTAGGTCTAGATCCAAGACAGAAAAGACTGGATTATCCGCAAATTTGATATATATTTTTAATCTATAACTAAGTGAACTAATCTAATCAAAAGGGTCTAAGTCAAGATGCAAATCATATGAATAAAGTACCTAGGATATTGCCTATGTGAAGACTGTTAGTGAACTATGTACTTAGCTCACCACGTCAAAGATCTTACTATGGTGTTCAATTGATAACCTTTAAGTTCCAGTTTATTCAAATGATCATTGAGTGTACCTGGATCCTATTTAAATTTACGGGCTTCATAAACAATATTACAGTAAAAGTTATATTGTGATATCCTGTTTGTAATAAGAAGTCTACCGCTATAAACCGATTGTATGTATGTACAAAGATCCTTCCGTGAACGGAGCACCCCTCGATTACTGCGAGGGAACAAATTAAGTAATCTGTGTACACTGCCTATGAAAATTAATGAAGATGTGTCACTAGTTCATAAACAACCCAACACAGAGGGAATTTTACGACACGGGAAGATATTATGGTTGAGAAAGCCGAAGTACTCGGAGGGAAACATTGGGCTTCTCGGCGGGAACAGACAAATCGTAGACACATCTAGATTGATCTCCAGGTCAAAGTCGGGGACTATTTTGACCAACCAAGGCCCCCAAAGTACCCATTCTAGTTTAAACTCCGGTGATGCATGCTAACTAAGTTTGACCTATTGAATCCTATTATTGTCACATTAACCTGTTATGTCCGCTTGGATTGCTCATCCAATGTTGTCAATATAATTGTGGTAAATATAAAAGTGCCTGTGGTAGCAATACACAGTTAGGAAGAACCTTAAATATGACACTCATAATTTTTAACCACCATCGTTTCCTTGCTTTCTAACAAATAAGGCTTAATGTTTGTGTTATGCATGTGCATATATATGGAAACAGCATGTTACATAGATTTGATTTCCAATAGTTAAAATGGTAACAATGGACCTATGAGCGGTACGATTGTGAAAATGTCAAACAGCACAAATGGCCAATAAAACATGCAAAGAACAACATATTGATGTTCATATAAACTCACTTTAAAGGCTATATTATTCTTCAGCTATCTAAAAATCAATTTTATTGTACAAAACCTTCATATTTAAAAATTCACCATGGCCAAATTGCGAAACTAAACTTCTAACTGCATGTGTATTGCTACCTGTACCAAGTTAGGAATATGACAGTTGTTTTTCACTCATGCCGTTGGTTGATAACGTTTTATATTGGCAATTTTTATGCATGGACTTCAAGTTTTTGAATTTACCTTATGTTCGGTAATTTTGTTTTTTTTTTTTGTTACACTTTTTCAAAACATCACTTTCCAAGTTTATGGGACGGTTGAACGCGCTCACAAATATGTTTGCTTTTTGTGAATTTTTTTGTTGTGATTTTGTGTTATGTGTGGATACCAATATCCTTTGTTTTTCTATCATATTTACCCCGTCACATTCTTTATGTCACTGTTTCAGGTTAGGAGCTCGTTTTTAATTGTCATTAGTTGCTGTCTGTCATATTTTGTTTTTCTGTAATTGTTTGGTCCATAATCAGAAAGTTATAATTAGTTTTCACGTTTGGATTGTTTCACATTTTGTCATATAAGGACCCTTTGTAGACTACTATACGATATGAGTTTTGTTCGTTGTTGAAGACTGTTCCATTACCGGTAGTTGATTATATCCTTGTCATATTAATGATGTCTGATGGACATAAATGATGCAATGATGTTTTTTACCGACAAACGTTGTACAATTGCTCATAACTAGAAAATATGCCATTCAAACAGTTTTAAAGCAATTGCTGAACCTTGAAAATGAGGCCATTCACAACAGACAGACATGTAGACCAGACTGGCACTTCAAAAATTAGCCAAATATTAACAAGAATCTAGTTTTTTTTCAAATAGGGGACAGAATGTTACAGAACAAAGTCAGTGACAAAACACAACTCAGTTTTGGGATTTTGTTATCCTTTGATATCAATACAGCATTCTTTGGGGAATATTTTTGTATTTTTCGTGAACTATGAGATATTTAATAACATTATTAACAACACTTATTGTAAAAAAAATTGTATAATGTTAAAACAATTGTTGAGAAATTAAGCTGTTGAATTGTCATTTTACTTGACTGGCTCTACATGCTTCATTGTGCCAGGAAATACTATATTGTATAATTTTGATTTCATAAATCTTCATTTATCAATTCTTATGAATAACAGTTTAAACAGAAAAATAGATAAGGAATTAATTCAAAGAATTTTTAATTCTATGCTAAAATTATTGTAAACTAATTAATTTTGACTTTTTGGTCAGGGTTAGCAATTTTGTGAATGTCTGACCTGTACCTTTCTGTCAGTTTCTGTATTTTTTTCTATCTTCTGATATATAAAGCTATATACAAAAGAATTTCATGGCTGCCAGTTAGATTAGTTTATGTTCCCTATGTCTCATATCATTCTGCAATATTCATTACAGGCCAGATGTAAAAAGTAAATCCTGCAGAATTTTTCAAATAATTAAGAAATGTAATCTGCAACAAGAAATGACTGTAACAGGATGCTGTTATGAAGTCTCCTATACAAATTCAATTCATCTTGCAGAAATTTGGTTTAGGGTTGTTATCTTAACAATTTTGTCGAAGTAAGTACTTTCTTATAAGACAGGGGTTAGGGAGTGGTCATGACCCCTGGGGACTCCTTTTAAATTTAACTTGTCTTTCAACTGCAAACCAGAAAATATATGGTTCAGGGGTGGGGAGCTGGACCACTCACAAGATATTTGAACATATTCAAATGACAGGGGTGGGGACTAACCCTGTATATCATCCAAATGATTTTAACATAACAAACAGGAATATATATGGTTTAGGGTATGGAAGCATGACAGGTGGTAGGGATTAACCCTATATTTCATTCAGATTGTTGTATCATGAACATTTGTAATTATGTAGATTCTACAATATAGTCTCTCTATGAAATTGTTGTCAAAACTAAAAACATGAGTCTTTATCATAAAAATATATTTTTATTGCGTAGATACATAGTGCATACTAAATCCATTTAACAATACATGCCATGAAATTATTAAAATTAAATTGGAAAATAAAAACAAATATTACATTGGTTGCAATGTTATTGTACATGCTGTAGTAACACAAAAACAATTCAAAACCTTCATAAAGTCTTTATTTGTAGAAATTACAGAGTCAAAATGACCAAACTCAACTAAATATAAGGTGAATGAGGACAAAAGCATATTAATGGAAAGTGATCAGTACATTGGTCCAAATTCACACAGCATTTAAACACTGGAAATGATATTTTTATAAAAGGAATTCATAAATTTGTGAAAGGCATGGTATTATTATCTTGTTTTCATAAAATGCATTTCAGGCAACTAAGTTTTTTAACCATCAATAAATCACACCATAGACACATTTTTCCACTTAGCATTTATTTCATGATGATACGAAAATACCTGCGAACATCATATAAATTCTTGCACTTTAAGCACCTTTTTATCAAAACATTTTTACAAAAAATATACATCATATATGACAGCTTAAGTAAATATTTTAAATGCACTTATATTTTTCATGTTAGGTTCTAGTTTGTCAGTTGAATAGAGCTGTAGTTAATCTACCCCTGATTATATTGAACTAAATAAAAGATTACTGTATCACAATAATTTTTCCCAAAACTTTTAAATCACCAACCCTGGTTTTATATTTAAATGGCCCCTGAAAACATTATGAAAACCACTAATTTCAAAAACCCCAATTAAAATGTCATAATCCATTTCAGTATGTATGTTTTGGAACGAATAATGATTCTCCAGCGGCATCTCCAGACACACCACCTTTATACTGTCCAAGGGCAGCTAACCCATTAGCCTGAAAAGAAAAATAAAGATTTAAATAAATACTGACTGAAACAGTTGTTAGTATCAGAGTCCTTTGGTTAAAAGTTTTCTTATTGGCAATCATACCATATCTTCTTATTTACATCATGATCTTGTGAAGATATTTCACTAGTTGCTTGTGTTAAAGCCATAAAGTGGGCCGTAGGTGGTGTCATTCAGTATTCCCCAAAAAATAGGATATTCTTTCCTGGATCCAGAAAAATTTATTATTAAGTCACGAGTCCAGATAGGTGTAAATCCGAAATTCCTGCGGAAAAAACAAGGGCCCAATCCGAAATTCCTGCAAAAAAATAAAAGCCTTATCCCAACATCCTGAAAAAAAGTCCCTCCATCCCTCCACTGGCATAACTTTATTTTGAAAGGTTACTTTCCAGAAAAAGAGAATGAAAAGGGTGCTTACAATAATTGTGCATTTGAACAATGGTAACTATTCATTACTGATAACCAAAAATACATCTTCATCGCGTAAGCATCAATGTTTCCAATACCTCTGTAAAGGTACCCTTATTTAAAAGCTACTAAGTTTTCTACATACCTTTGCCCTTCTAATGAGCTGTTCCTGGGCAGCCTTAACATTCTCTTCTTTCCCTTGCCAAGCCTTAAGGACACTGGCCTGTAAGGCTCTTCCAAAGGAGAAGGTAAGTGCCCAGGGTTTTCTACCAGGGAAAACATTGATAGCATTCAGATTAAGGGTTGAATCTTCTTCAGATTGTCCACCTGACAAAAATGTTATTCCTGGAAAAAAAATTAAAAAATTGTAAGTGTATAACCTTGTGGTTTTCTTGTTTTGCTTCAGTTTGTGGCTTTGTTTGAACAGACTTGTTACAAAGCTTTTACCTGCTAATCTGCATGATGTATTACAGTTTAAAGGTTTGATCTTTACCAATGTTTACACAGAATGTTTCCAGGCAGGTTCCATGTGATAAAGTCTATTCTTTCCTATAAGAACTTTAAATAAATTAAAACTGGTTTGGCAGAAGTTAATTTCTCTTTTTTTGGTTGTTGGATTTTTTGGGTTGCTATCTCACTGACATACCAGACATCTCCTTTCATTCATAATTTCAACACTGATGATTTCATTGAGCTTATAACAACTATTGGAACTGAAAGAACTTGCCTTTCCAGATTATAAAGGATTATGGGTATTTTCATTGTACCTCAAAATGAATATATCGTCCAGTTTAGGCAGTTATTGATTGATTGTTTGATCATTTGGTATTTAATGCACTTTCAGGACAATTAGCTATTTCATGGCAGCCGGCTTCCTTGATGGAGGAAACCAGAGTGCCTGGACAAAATTCATTGGTTGCGTTACTACTGTTAAGGAGTTAGCCAATTACAACATTTTGGTGCATGCTTTTGAAAATATTACCCAGAATTCATTAGATTCTAAAACTGAAATCATTAATCATCTTTCCTACCTGGAACTGCTGCTGGAACAGTTCTTGATAAAGCCAGGACTGTAGCTTTAGCATTTTCTTCAGCCGTGAATTTTTTAGGACAACTTTGACCAGCGGTCACCATGTTTGGTTTGAGTAAAGTTCCTTCTAAATATACATGATGATCTGACAATGCTTTGTATGTAAATGCTAACACCTAAAAAATATAAATAATATTCAGTTTCTTTTAACAGATATGACAAAATAGCAGTACTATAACTGTATTAGTTCTTATACAAATAAACTTTATCCAATTTTATCAAAAATATCGAATTTGTGTCCATGCTTCATTTAAAAGGATTCAGCTGACAATGCTCTTTAGGTATAGAACCACTTATTCAGGCCCGGTCGGAAAGAACATACAAGAAAGTTGTACATATTTTTCAAAAAAAAATAGTTCCTACACATAGCCGTATCTTTGTCAATAGGTGAAATATTAGGGTAGTTTTGGTATGAAATGAATGTTTGGGGACTTGGGACCACTGTAGGACCCTTGTTGAAAGTTTCTTTTGAATAATAAAGAAGTATATCAAATTTTAATAGTAGGACACATTTGCCCTGTTGTTCAGATCAGATGTACCTGTTTTTGTACTATCAAACTTCCGGGAACCAGTACGCTCTAATATGCAATTAAAGGTATGTTGAATTTTTCAGCACAAGTCAGGATAAGGTATAGTTTTAACATGAAATAGATGCCACTTTATTTGAACTTGACAAAGTAGCCATTAATGCTTGAAATTGCAGAAGTTAACATAGAAAGCAATGGGGCTATGAATTAGTGGTTTTATACCTAAAACTGAAAGGCATGTGAAATTCATTTTTTTAGAAATCATACCCATTACAATGAAAATTGGTCACATTTGTTGATAGTATTCATGTTACATTATTTTTTTATGTAGCAATTATGTTGGTGTCAAATTACAGCCCTCAATTGCTACAAGAAGGTATTTCAGCTTTTTTGGTTTTTTAGCATGCACACAGTTAAGATTTTACCTGAAGTTTAAATTTGTGCATTATCTAAGACTGAAACCAATGAAATATGTTTATTATGACTGGTTTATAGTATAAATATTGCTTTTGTTCAAATAATCTGGTGAGTGTTCATGTTTTATTGGGTTTCTTAGTGTATCATTTATTTTAAAGGACATTGGTGTATACTTATATAGGAATTCCAAAATATCACTTGAAATGCATTTCATAACCAGTTTAGCAAGTTGTCTAGCTGGGAGATACACAAATTGATAATGTTGATCCATGTTTATACATAAAAGTATGGTTTTTACCAAATCACTCTACTTTTTCAACATGCAGAAAAAAGGGGGGACAAAATTATCATTTATATTTTATGTTTGGACCACTGTATTTATATTCAAGGAAGAATCTTTGATAAAAATAGGACATATAGGTAGGAACATTGTTATTTGAGTAGATATTAACAAATAAGAATTGGTCAAAATTGAAAAAGTGTCATATCTGTCACTATTAGTATCCATATGGAGTTTTCCTTGTATAACGCATATGTTACTACCAGTCCAATTTGAGCTTGAATTCAGTGATATAGTGTTTTGACAAAAGCTTTCTGTGTTTTCCTATGCTAGAAATAGATCATAGAAGGAAATTAAGTCAAGCAGAAGTCAATATAATAAGTTTAGTGCTGTTATAGGTATAGAACCACTAATTCAGGCCTGGTTGGAAAGAACATACAAGAAAGTAGTACATATTTTAAACAAAATAGTTCCTTTGCATAGCCATATCTTTGTCAATAGGTGAAATATTAGGGTAGTTTTGGTATGAAATGAATGTTTGGGGACTTGGGACCACTGTAGGACCCTTGTTGAAAGTTTCTTTTGAATAATAAAGAAGTATATCAAATTTTAATAGTAGGACACATTTGCCCTGTTGTTCAGATCAGATGTACCTGTTTTTGTACTATCAAACTTCCGGGAACCAGTACGCTCTAATATGCAATTAAAGGTATGTTGAATTTTTCAGCACAAGTCAGGATAAGGTATAGTTTTAACATGAAATAGGTGCCACTTTATTTGAACTTGACAAAGTAGCCATTAATGCTTGAAATGCAGAATTTAACATAGAAAGCAATGGGGCTATGAATTAGTGGTTTTACACCTTTACTACTTTCTGTTTGATTACAATTTACCTGGTGAATGATGATAGAAATATACCTGTAATCCTTGTGAATTATGACTTACATTTACCTATATTGTATATGTCATGTAGGTTGTACACTTGGATTACGCTGTATATATCATATGTGTTTTATCCAATAAAATATTTGAATTTGAATTTGAATAATCCTGGTGAATTACGATTAAAATTTACCTGTTCAGTGACTTTTTGTGCAGTATATAGATCGTGATCACCATCACATAAAACTTCAGGTTCTACAATGGGTACTAGACCATTCTGTAAATGAAAGACAATTTAACAGCAATGTTTATTAATTCTCTCTCAAATTGATTTAAGGATGTTCGCTACCCTAGTTTTGAATTTTGGCCAGATATTCGGAATCCTCTGGTTTTATCCATGTAATATCATAAAAATGTTGCCCCCTAACCCTTACTTTTCTTTCCACAATTTGATAACATATATAGTTAAAAATGTCATCTTTGAAAATCTTATAAAATCCATATTATTTTTTCATCGCTTTTGGAAAAATAAAGATCCCAATGTTAAATGTAAGAAAAATCTAGAGAGAATTATTTCCAGCCAAATTTTCAATGGCTTACATCTGGAAAATAAGCACACAGATCCTTCATTTTTTCTGCTTTTTAGTTTCTTTATTTATATACTATCAATGTATAACAGTCTTTTTAAAAGCTTGTTATTTTGAAACAGAGTAGTGTACATCCTTAAGGACAGTTATTTTGTACAGAAATCAGCAACACTGACAAATATAGCTATTTTTTTCAATTAATAACTAGAGGCTCTCAAGAGACTGTGTCGGTCACCTGTATTTACTGTTTTTTTGGAAATCATGTAAAATAAGGTTAAAATCATAATTAATAGTATTAGATACTATAGATTATTAGATATTAGATACTTTGTTTATATTTCAGATAATAACCAAGAACTGCAAAATTTCCTTAAAATTACTAATTCAAGGGCAGCAACCCTACAACAGGTTTTTGGTTCGTCTGAAAATTTCAGGTCAGATAAATCTAATGTCAGATTTGCTCTAAATGGTTTAGTTTCAGAGATATAAACCAAAAACTGGATTTTACCCTTATGATCTATTTTCGGCCATGTTGGTTGGCAGGCAGGGTCATCGGACATATTTTTAAAACTAAATAATCTTGGGTTGATTAAGGCCAAGTTTGATTAAATTTGTCTCAGTAGTTTCAGGGGAGAAGATTTTAGTAAAAGATTACAAAAATTTATGAAAATTGTAAAAAATTGTATTTAAGGGCAATAACTACTTAAGGGGTCGATTGACAATTTTGGTCATGTTGACTTATTTGTAGATCTAACTTTGCAGAACATTATTGCTGTTTACAGTTTATATCTATCTTTAAAAATATAATAACCAAAAACTGCAAAATTTCCTTAAAATTACCAATTCAGGGGCAGCAACCCAACAACAGGTTGTCTGATTCGTCTGAAAATTTCAGGGTGAATAGATCACAACCTGATAAACATTTAAGTAGTTTCTGACGAGAAGATTTTTGTAAAAGATTACAAAAATTTATGAAAAATTGTTAAAAATTGACTATAAAGGGCAATAACTCCTTAATGGGTCGATTGATAATTTTGGTCATGTTTTATTTGTAGATCTTACTTTGCAGAACATTATTGCTGTTTACAGTTTATTTCTATCTTTAAAAGTATTAAAGATAACAAAAAACTGCAAAATTTCCTTAAATTTACCAATTCAGGGGCAGCAACCCAACATCGGGTTGTCTGATTCTTCTGAAAATTTCAGGGTGGGTAGATCTCAACTTGATAAACATTTTTACCCATGTCAGATTTGCTCTAAATGCTTCAGGGGTTAAAAAAAACCACTAGCCTGACGCCCAGGACTAGAGCATTTACACCTCAGGCAATCACAATTTGTAACCCAATATGCCTGACGGACTAGTAACAAAACATTCTCGATGTTTCCAAAATAGAAAGTTGAAAATCCCTTCATCACTATTCTATCTTAGCCAATCAGATTCAATTACCTCATCTGGGATTCCAAGAATTTGAACTGGTTTGTACATGTCCTGTTTTACATATTATAAAAATAGAACAAATAACTCTGGGTGGCCCGGTATCATGTATTGATCTTCACTACCCCAAAAATACCAAATACGACCGGGACAAGCAGGAAAAATATTAAAAGAGTCCAGGACATAATGATTCCCCTGGGCAAAGTCATGCCAATAAAAAGTATGCTTTGTATGTGGGAACAACTAAGTTAGGTTTAGCACCAACAGAATAAATAGCAGATCAACAAAATTATTAAATACAGAGTATAATGCTGCCTTCAAAACAAGGAACCCCTTCTTTGTATTATGCAGCAAACTCTGATTTTTAAGGCATATTCGAGCTAGCAGGTCAGTTTTGATGGACTAGCAGATCTTCCAACAGGGCTAGTAAAATCCTGCTGCCAATAAGTCCTGGGCTAGTTAGATGTAACAAATTTTTTTAACACTTGTGCTTTAGTTTCAGAGATATAAGCCAAAAACTGCATTTTACCCCTATGTTCTATTTTTAGCAATGTCGGCCATCTTGATTTGCCAGCAGGATTATCGGACATATTTTTTAAATAAGATACCTTAATAATGATTGTGGCCAGGTTTGGTTTAATTTGGCCCAGTAGTTTCAGAGGAGAAGATTTTTGTAAAAGTCGACGGACGACGGATGACGGAAGCCAAGTGATGAGAAAAGCTCACTAGGCCCTTCGGCCCAGGTGAGCTTAAATTGATACCTGTGATTGAAGGCTGTCAGGTAGGTTATGGTTGTTCATATTTTTTTCTATAGAAATTAAAATGAATATTAATTTTGTCTCATTAGCAATCATGTCATATCTCCTTATTTGTTTTTCTTGTGGGCAAATAAAATGCATATATATAGATTCTACCACTGCATCCTGAGGCTTGCTGAATTGTAATATTTGCACAAGATTCAGTGGTGGAATCTGTTTCTCTAATGATTTAAGACAATATGAAGACAAACTCCATCTTTCTTTCTTAATGATCTGCATTATCTATGAGGTCATCAGGTATAGTCATCTTTTTTCGTGATGTCACAATACAGGTGAAAGCAAGAAATATTTACATCATAATTGAGTTTTGACTAATGGAGAACTGAGATCAAATGAACAACACATTGCTTATAGAAAAATAAAATCAACAGGTCTGGAAAAGGATTTATCAGCTAAGAATTAGAGAAAATCCACAACCATGTCATTTCTAGACTGTAATCAAAAAATTATCTGCTTACTTGTTGACAAATGCTGGCGTATCTGGCTAAAACATTGGCATTTTCTAACATAGCTTGAAAGGTTGGAGTTTCTGCTCCTATTTTTAGCACACATCGCCATTTTGCAAATTGTGCTCCATCTTTTTTATACTGTGCACATCTTTCTGCTAGACCATCAAGACCTATATAAACAAGATTAATAAATTCTGTTATCATTGGTAAATCTTTAAATTCATTCTATTTAACCTTGTTTGTCTAAATTGCTGCGGTTGTGTCTCATTCATGTATCTATTGAAAGTCATACTGTCTACAAAACCATGGGGGAAAAAACTTTCTAAAGAATCTATAGAGAATTTATTTTGCGAAAGATGAACCAATTCAGTATTATTTCCCTATTACTATACACTCAAAATCTGAATTCATCAAAATAAATACTGAAAGTAATAATATCAATTTGAACCTATACATGTAATAAACATTAAATACATATAGATTTAAAAGAATATGCTGTTTAAACTTACCAAAACTTGAGAAATAATTTTTAAAATATCTCATTAATAAATATAATCTCCCCTTGACTTTCCACTCTTTAATTTTACTAACCTAATATTTAACCATTCAGAACTCTTTAAAAAAATAATGAGTTCTTTAGTATTCAAAATACAAAATGCAAAACATCAGATCTATGATTATAATTGAAACATTAATGCTACATGCATGTGTAAGTTTTTTCCTTTGCTATGTTTACTCTTTCTTACAAATTAAATTCAGTATGATTTTCAGGTCATTTACACCAATATTCAAGTTTGCAATAATATTTTAACCTTGTATTTTTAGATTTTAACATGAGTTTAGTGATGTTCATCACCAAAACTATTAACCAGAAACTTTGAAGATGTTTGCAAGTTAAAACGTGTACAATATGAAACTTTCTGACCTACTTAATGATGTACTTAGGTGAGGTTTTGGAATTTGTGTCAGATGTTCGGACTCCTTGGTTTTTTTCCTAAGATACAGGGTAAAATATTTTGCCCCATAACATCCATTTTTACTTTCATATAAGACTTCAATAGCTCATAAAAGGTCATTTACCAAAATTTAAGCAGACTCTAGATTTCTTTATTTTTTTATTTGAGACCCAAATAACATGAATAAATACCAAATGCAAATATAAGGTTAAAGTCTAAGTCACCCTTTTCCCGACTTTTTTTAAAACTCAAATATCTCGAAAAGGAGCTCCATAACCTATCAATATTTTTAGCTTAATATTTTGTTCCTTAGCTAATGCTCTTTTGACTTATCAATTTTAAATTCTTGGCTTTTAAAATTTCACCTAAGTACATCCTTAAAGTTCCAAGACCATGCATGCATATCAGCTGGACATGAAAGCTTCTTGCAAATCTAAACACCAGCCCGAGTAAAATGATAGGAGGTGGAAATAAAGCTTTACAAAATAAATAGTAACAATCATTCATTTTCCTCTATACACTTTCATGTCAGATTCCTCTACATCTACAGTAAATGTGTATTACCTATTATTGAATCTATATTCTAGTCCATCCGTAAAAACTTTTTTGTTTTATGCTGCTTACCAATGCCTTGCAAGGTTTGATAGGTAGGTAGGAATTTTTTTTATAAAATTTTTGTCATAAAATTTTTCGGGAAGGCTGCTTTTTAGGTAGGTATGTACTAAGGCAACATCAAACAACTTAAATTTTATTTTAGACTCTACACTTATTCCTGCAATAATATAGTAACTACCCTGTGTTGTTGATTCTCCATCAGTTCCAGCAAGGGGGACAACTCCTTTATCTACTTTGATACCGGGTATAATTCCCTTTTCTTTCAATACTTTAACAAATGGTACTCCAGCTTTTGTTGACTGATACAATGTCTCGTGAAACAGAATCACACCACTAATGTTTTCGGCTACAACCTTATCTGAGGCAAACAATAGTTCTCTGTATCTGCGACGATTTTCTTCATTGTTCTCAGCTTTTATTGATGCAAATCTCTTTCCAATAGTTCCTGTACAAAACAATGATAAAATTACTTAATCTCATCACATATTATACATGTACTACTTTCTCTTTTAATTTTTTTTTCTTTTTTTTGCATTTCTTTTCTTTTCTTTTTTTGCTTGTAACTTTTATCATTGTTTCATTGTGTTTACAAATTAAATTCAGCGAAGTGAAAAAAATATGAAAAATTAAAGAACCTGTCACACTCACATACCCCATGTCCCCACACTGTCACTGGGCAAACAAAATCTCGACAGATTCTTACATACAAAAACTCATAACTCCTACAAAAGTCAACTGATTTTCTTTATATATTTAGATATGCACATAAACATAGTATGTCCTCATTATCTACAAATTCTCATGAAATTCTGTTGTGTGGTTAAAGATGAGTTGCGATGACAAACTTGCATCGGTATATTTAGGCCAAAATTCTAAGTCCAAAAGGGCATTACTCCTAGAAAAAAATTGAAGCTTAAAGTCATGGAGATAAAATAGGATTTCGCCTTTATAAAGTTTTTTTTTCTTAGGGATTATTCACAAATGGTTCTTTTCACCATAATATGAAGACATAATAAAATAAAATTAAAACAGCAGTAAATGATACGCAAAAAATACACTACACAATTTTTAATAAAAAATATATATACAACATGTACTAGTAGATTGGTACATCTGAAAACTGAATGATGACATTCAGACAAATGAAATGGTTTCATGGCAAATCTACTGTTTGTGTCAGAGGTCAGAAAAATAAATGACAGCACTACATGTATCTGTGTTAAATGATCAATGTAGTGGTTTCATCTAAAAACTATTTAATATTCAAAACAGTTTGTATAGACAGATTTTAACATAGTTTGTTAGGACATTGACATGAAATAAATCAAAAACAGGGCACTTGTAGTTCAAGGTCCTACATCTTAAATGTCTAAAATGAAATATAAACAATCTTGCTGATAAGTACAGTACATCTGAACTTTACACTGATCTTACTCTCATTTCCAGATTTTATAAATCATTAGGTTGGAGAAGGTTCTTTTAGTACAGAGGGGGATGAAACACTTTTGGGATATGGGATATATAGGGGGTAAAAAAGTGGGGCTGGGGGATATAGGGAGTTTACAAAAGTGGGGGTGTGGGATATAGGGGACTAAAAAAGTGAGGATGTGGGATATAGGGGTTAAAAAAGTGGGGCTGTGGGATAAGCAGGTAAAAAAAAAGTGGGATCTGGGAAAAAACTACCCAAAACAGCAGGATTTTGGAAATGAGCACACCTGTGTGACCCCTCAGTACATGTAAAAATGACATTTGATAAATTAAACAGAAATAAAATAATTTTATGCACAAAACAACTGGACAACATCTAAATGTAGTGGAATGAGTAAATATTTGGGACAAGCTTTTTTTTATATTTTTTTTATATCTTCAATACATATTCTTCTCAATTTGGCCCATGAAATTCACAAAAAGATAGACAGTTATAAATCATTTCAGTTTAAAATCCTTAAACCTTGCATATATATAACAATGTATAAATCTAGCTAGTACAAACATTATAGATCCTCTTTCAAATATATACAAAAAAATACTAATATAAAGGAACCAAAATTACTCCTTAAGCCTTCACTTGGCATCTTCCAAACTAGCATCATTAAGGTGGTACCAAACACCTTGACTAAAATTAATTTGGCTTGTTAAATTTTCTTAAAATTTTGACAAAATATTAAATTCGACTTGACAAAAACATAAAAATTTCAAAAAACTTGAACCACACACTTTATCGGAAAAAATTCATTGGATATATAGCAGTTTGACAAACACTAATTTTGATCATTGAGAAGCTTAATATTTCCTTAACAATAGATCTTGATTAAAACGTTCAGCTGATTTTTACAGAGTAATCTCCCTGTAGTGTTATGTACCACCTTAAAAATAATGTTCTGAACTTTTTTTTTTTACTTATCTAAACACCTTAAAAGAATTGTGTATATATGTATACATACAATGTACTATGTGTGTCAAAATCTATGCTTTTGGTCACCTTAAACTTCATCAATTACACCATTTTATAAAGACAAACAACCAGTAACTGATCGATATAAATATTTACCTGTAGACTCATCAGCCGCCAAGATACCTTTACCAGGGGCCACAATAGCATTTGCGACCAATCGTAATTCATCCTCCTGTTCTGGTGTTAGATACTGTGGGAAGGTAGGCATGGTTTTGTTCTACTTCTGAAATACAGCAATATAAATACATTCCTGATAAATCAGCATTCAATACATAACAAGAATCATGTAATAAAAAAATTACCCTTAAGTGTTACTCAATATAGTGACACCTTGGTGATTCAGTTAAAAATCACTCTTGCTGGTGAAATTTGTGTGTTTAACGTTCTTTGAAACTGGGTGATTGTCTGTGTGACAATACTGATTTATGACCCTGTCATGTTATTACCTACTGAACATATAAAAGAGAGATATTTCAGAGTGAATTACCATAAAGTTAAACCAGCATTTACAGTGAAAATTCACCAAAAAAAATCACCAGCATTCACTGTAAAAATTCACCAAAAAATCAACAGCATTCACCATGTTCACTGTGAAAATCACCATGAAGACTGAATCATCTTAATGTGCATACTGTACAACCTTTCAGAAGTGATATACTAAGAGGAAAAGACAATATGGGAATGATGTGCATAACAAAAACATTTAGCATAACCATGATAACTCTGAAGTAATGTAACCAAAGGTTTTCTGTAAGTTGGTCTTCATCTTGGCAATATCTGGAAAATGAAAATGGCACTTAATTAGTGTTAATTATAAATTGTGTGCCCCTGAAGTGCTTTCTGGATTTAATTTCATCAGGAACCTCAAACCTAAACTTTTGAAAGCCAGGGATGTAAAATATGTAGAAACATCAGATGAGCTATTATGACCAAAAGGGATCTTAAAAGAAAAAAATCAAATTCATCTAAGGTCAACCCTGCCCAAGAGAGTTGGAACCTTAATTTCTTAATAGTTTCTTGAACTTATCAACAGGATTTTTTGAATTTTCGATGGTGACTTTTAACATTCAACAAAGCTTGAGAATTCAAACCACTAAGATCAAAACGCTTTTTGTCTATTTTCAAAATGAAGTCCATGAAGTCAGTAGTCTGACACCATGGACACAGTACTGGTAGATTTTCAGCAAAAATCACATAGAAGAGTCAGAAATTATATCCATCAGGTCACCTCAATATTTCTCTAACAAGCTATAGTGTGGGTTATTTAATGTGAACTCAGAATTATTTGGTGAGTCCGAAAGCTGATAAAAGATCTTCTATTCTGAAGATCTTAAAGGATCAGAGTAGGGGCAATCTGGTGCATATGTACCAAGCATGAGTTTCATTTCATAGGTTAAAAAATAGGCCACAATGCCCCTTCTCCTTTTACATTTTTGATGATCCCTTATGTCAAATGTATGTTATCTAGAATAAAACACACATAGGCAAGTTGCAAGAATCCGTGAAGTGTGTGGCATTCTCCTTTAGTACATTTAAACCGACCATGTGAAATAGATTTAATGTCCCAAATATACCTTATACATGACCAGGTCAAGAAAAAAATCAATTATAAAGGCAGATTGGTAGAATATGAATTAAACAAATATGAATTACCATACCTGAAGTTCAACCAGAAAAAAGTCAGACTTTTTGAAGAAATTAATAATCTCAGTAAAACAAAAGTAAATATATCCTAAATCAGAACAAATTTATAAGCTTAACTTGCAAATTATGTGGTCCTTAAACAACCTTGAAGCTAACCTAGATTGATAAGATAAATATACTACAAGTATCTACACTAATGTATTATACATGTTATACATGAATAAAAATGTACATGTCATTTACTTCAACTTATATCATATTAGAAATATGGATTCAAGATAATGTCTGTTAATCAAAGTATATTTTAATAAGGAATGACTTTAATTATTGGATTTTATTTCTTTTTTGAGACCATAAAAAATTTTATGCTAGTATTGTTCAATGTTGTTTTTTTCAGTATGGACAAACATTTAAATGTTGAAAATCCCCCAGATCAGCACAATTTGTATAGCTCAGATTTTAAATACAAAAACCTACATTATTCATAATGTTCAGATGATTTCTTACCCAGAAATGAGAGGGGGGTCATGATACAGGCTATATAAAATTGTTCAGTGCATTTCTTATATTATCCAAGGATTGTTTGTTAAACTATCATATTTTGTACATGTATTGTGTCAATTTATTAACAACAATTAAAAAAAAAAATCTATAATAAAACATTTGTACTGGATATTGAATTATTGCTTTATTTCTTTCACTGCAATAACAAGCCACTGGACATTTATAAGGTAACAGATACATAAATGAACCATCTCAGTGATTTTTTCACAAAATTAAATATTTCATTAAGATTTTCCACATACACCTCTAATTTAATTCTGCATGTTCTGTGCGTTAAGCATGAAATGGAAAGAACTGGGGGGAAAGTGGACTGGTCACTGAATTGAAGTGGTGGTAAATATTTCTACTGGAAATTATTCAAAATTATTTCTCAAGAAAGTCAGAAGCTGTCACCAGTGCTTTCAAGTCACAAGCAATGTGTGTGAGAAGCATGCATTTTCATGCTTGTTTGGTGGCACTTTCCTTTACTGTTTTTTTTCTCTTTGATCTTTAAAATTTTTGCCAAATCTCAAGCATTTGCTTCATGAAAACTTGACAGCCCTGTGATACTGAAGAGGTCAGGAACATTTGTCACTATTTTGAGTTTAATATAGTTGGCAAGTTTTAATCTGCAAGCTAACCATTGCTTAGTTTAAGATCATTTCCACCAGAAACAGGTTTACCTCTTATTATGCTTCTGTCAGTGCTATATTTTAAATTAAAAAAAAATGTTTAACAAGTTTTCTTGAGTCACAACACACATACATTTCATCAGGGTTCAAAGTCCAAGTTTCAGTTTAATCAAAATGCAATGTTTGTTGTTGTAACTTAAGAATTGTTCTGTATGGAAATGAATTAATGTGTTATTTTGCATACAGAGGAGTCAAAATGTTATGTACTTATTACTATGATAAGGTGTTGAATTAAATCAATCATTTAATAAATAGATAATTTATTTCAACTACCCCATCCCCCTTTTTTTCTAAATAATTCGAACAGCTGATAGAGTTCTTCACAAATGTATACAAAATGCATACAAATCAAATTCCGAACTTATTCAACAGCTAGGCTGCTTAATATTTTCAATTATAATGTTTTGCAAATCTTTCATATTTAAAAAATCTATAAATTGTTTTTGTAGACGTCGGTAAACAGGTAAACATCTTCCTGATTGTCGACAGATAAAGTTTTTATCTGCGATGACATGCATTATTTTTTTAAGAGACAGATTCGTTTGCATTCTTTCAAATAGTTACTTACAAAATAATCCAACAGACTTCAACAAACGTTGTTTAATTCCAAGTCGGTTCCTTGTTGAAAAGTTTTTACGGACGCAACAAAAAGAGGGTGTGAGGTGATGTCAAAATTTGATTGGTTGATTTTTATCCTTGACATTGGACGTGTATAATTGCATCGCAAAATCGAGGGTCTATACAAATGTTGTTTCAAAGTTCATAGTCTTTAAAACAACACCCCCCCCCCCCCCCCCCCCCCCCCCCGACCCGAGCAAACAATTTCCACAATATGCACAATAAATCAAGAAAGGCGTCACAGTCAAAATTGAAAAATAACCTTACAAGACGCCATATTTTTTTTTTTTACAAAGGCAGGTGCCGGCAAGTGTTCTTGTACATATTCTACAAATAAAAAAGTTCTTTTCTTTTAGGTTCTCTAAAATCAACGACTTTTTGAACTAATATATATAACATCTGGTATTGGGTACAAACAGAAAGAAATTTAGAAAAATAATTTAATTTTGGATGATTGGGTGAAAGTTTTTTTGTATATACATATCAGCTCATATAGATAATTCATGTGTCATTTTGTCATGTTATCGTGAAGTCATCAACGTTTTTTTCATGATTTACCCCTTAGAAACGGAATTTAGAATTAAATTAAAAAAATTATAAGAAATAACTGTAATATTTTTTCTGTTCGAAATAACTTAAACAAATTAAATGTGGTGCACACTTTTAAATAACCCGCTACGCGGGTTTGATGTTATTTCTTCAAGGCATAAACAGACAAAAATAAAATTTTACAGTCATTCCTTAAATAACATTTGTACTTTGGAAAAATTGTATTAGGAACCCCCAAAATGCATCAAATTTATTTTTACGCCTTTTATTTTTTTAGAGGGACATTCTAATGGGATTTGTGTTTATCAAAATAGAAGGTGTATCATATATATAGAAAGGTTCAACTTGAATAAGCTTATAAAGATAAGGAGATGTGGTATGATGTCTATGATTGCCAATGAGACAACTAATTCATCAAAGATCAAATGATCTTTTGATACATGTGAACATTTACAGGTCGCCGTAAGGCCTTCAACAATGGACAAAACCCAAACTGTATATATATATATATATAAACAAGTCTAAATTGAAAACAACGTTCAAACCTATGAATGCGTTGGATAAAAACCGCAATTTTTATACGTGTGCATGCAAAACAAATTTCTTTGTAGAGGGGTCTAAAAACAGCACAAACAACAATTTCCAAAAGACCAACAAAAGTGAAAAAGTCTATTTTAACAAATCGCATTTGACTAACAGGTCGAACAACTGATGTTCTTAAACCCTGCTGACTGCCATTGGCGACTGCCAAATAAATTGATCACCAGATCTAACAAAATGGATCTTAATATTAATTAAATACCAAACAGAAAACAATAAACTTGTGGAAAAGATGGTATACCACAAACATGAGGTGCAAAAATATATATATATATATAGGTTTGGACGTTGTTTTCAATTTAGACTTGTTTATATATATATATATATATATATATATATATATATATATATATATATATAGGTTTGGACGTTGTTTTCAATTTAGACTTGTTTATATATATATATATATATATATATATATATATATATATATATATATATATAGTCAATTGTAAATGGCTGATATTTTTGTTCAGGCATATTGTTTTTCTTAAATTGTTTAACATTTCACAGCGGTATAACATGTTACTTTAATTTAATATTCTTCCCTTAGTTTATTTATTTTGTATTTACATTGTATCATAGATCAATTTGTTTGTTCAGTGTATGTTCACTGGTGTTAATATGTCTTTTGATTGAGTTAAGCCATTTCAATTGATATGTTATAGTGTGTCTTTCTATGTTGTGATGTTACACTATTGTTTCAGATAAGGGTGAAGGTTTGGTACCATTAAAACGTTTAAACCCGCTGCAATTGTTTGCACCTGTCCTTAGTCAGGAATCTGATGTTCAGTAGTTGTCGTTTGTTGATGTGGTTCATAAGTGTTTCTCGTTTCTCGTTTTTTATATAGATTAGACCGTTGGTTTTCCCGTTTGAATGGTTTTACACTAGTAATTTTTGGGGCCCTTTATAGCTTGCTGTTCGGTGTGAGCCACGGCTCCGTGTTGAAGACCGTACTTTGACCTATAATGGTTTACTTTTATAAATTTTGACTTGGATGGAGAGTTGTCTCATTGGCACTCATACCACATCTTCTTATATCTACTCAGCTATAAAAGGCCCCGATATAACAAAATGTGAAACAAATCGATAGAGAAAACCAACATTCTGATGATGCCACAACAGTGAACAAAAGAAATTATGTCAGACAGAAACCAATTACAACGGCAACCACTGATTGAAGGTACTTGGCTTAATAATGCCAGATATCTATAGAACAGTATGACATATTTGTGAGCGCTCAACCCTCCCTGAGTCACTGGTGCATCAATACAACAAAAGAGCCAGTTGGAAAGAATTTGACTCATCAGATATAATTTATAGGCACTAAGCACAAAAACAAAAGACAAAAAGACAAAAGACGCAAAAAACGATTTTAGAGTATTTGCAGTTACTGAAAGCAAGTCAAGGCCCATGCCAGTTTCAACTTTTAAATGAATCATGTTTTCTCAGACTGAAATATCATTCAGTGTACCTCTAACGGCTTTAGTGAGAAGATGTCATAAGCAGTATGTGAAAAGCACGAATCGCGCAATGCCAAACTATGAGTTAAAGTATATCGACAGGAGGTAGGCACTATGTGTTAACAATTCGATAGTAATACATGTTTAGTTGTGTGTTAAATTATTCAAAATAAAATCAATATTAGTACCGATATATATTCCAAGATTTCACTACCAAAAAAAAAGGAGATGGGTATGATTACCAATTAGACAACTATCCACTCAAATGACGTGGATATGAGCAGTTATATATCTCACCGTAAGGTCTTCAACAATGAGAAAAAACCCATACCATATAGTCAACTATGAAAGTCCCCGACATAAAAAATGTGAAAACAAATTAATCTTCTTCGATGGTAAGTGAACTGTACAATTTACAAAAAAAAATGATAGACATAAACCAACAGTAACAACTGAATTACAGACTCCTGGTTGGGACAGGCACGTACAGAATGTGGCGGGGTTAAACTGTTTGTGAGCGCTCAACCCTTTCCTAACATGTGACATTGATGAAAAACAATGAGAACAAACTGTAAAAAACTTAATTTATCGGTACGAAGCACAAAAAAAAACAACTAACATAAAAACAATAGACACTATACGAATATAAATAAATCAGTTTCTACCAGACTAAAGTATCAATCAACACGCATCCAACGGATTTGGTGTAAAGATGTCATGAACAGTCTGAGAAACGCGGCATGACCTTGGCACACTGTGCAATACTTATTTTTTTACCAAAATAAAAGTAAACAGTATCAACAGAATGTAGGTTCGTGAGTACTCATAACTACATATATAGCAATATATATTTAGTTATATTTTAATTTTCAAAAACAAAACCGATGTTCGAACCGATAAAAACAATATTTAAATATTTAACTACGGTGTTGAATTGGTCACCCTTAAGAATAAGCCTTTTTAAAATGTCAATGAGTTTACATGGATAGTAGCTAAAATTACGGGCTCTATAACCAACATCACTGTAAAAATTATAACGTGATGTTTCCGTTTTTCATAAGAATTCTACAGGTACAGCCAAACATCTCAACCAAATATTTGCATCTATGACAGAATTAAGTAAAAAATTTGATTAGTTAGTGGTAACCGTAGCGAAATCCCCGACTTAATAATGTACCAGTTATATACATAAATTACGGTCATTGAAATATAGAACGCGACTACATATGAGGCATAACGAACAAGTTGAGAAATATACACACCAAAGAAATATCATACGGTCTAAAAAGGGAAAATTGTCTCTTTTGTCGTAAATTCTTGTATTCAGTTTCCCATGTTAAACTGAAATATCCAAATCTGTTAAAGGTCAATTATTGCTGACTATATTTGATTTATTCAAAGTCAGTTCCCATTGGCTAAATTTCCGCAGTAAAATAAGAAAATTCTTGATTATTTACAGCAAAAATATCATCAAGGTAATGGGAAGTGTTTTTGAAGCTACCAATTAAATGTTATTTGGACGTATCTTTACTGGGTTTGGCCCATAAACTGTGATTAATTCATAACAATACATGAATAAATCTGCTCTAAAAGGGGGGCAATTGGTGCTCATGGGAATGTCTACAGCCTGTCGATATACTGTATTGCCGAAACGTACATAGACATGTGTAGCATATTTGCCCTTTCCATTACAGAATGAGGCTTTATATGCATGAGTTGCAGCAAATAAACCTGCAATCATATTTTTCAAAGGACCATTTAATTAATAAGAGTACTTGCGTTTGATAAGATTGAGTGGAAATTTAGAGTAGAGTCGAGAGTCAAAATTGTCAATCGAATTGAATGGATCATTAAAAGCACGTAATTTGTCCAAAACATCCAAAGAGTATTTGACACTCAAAGAATGATTAATTCCATTATTTTCATACGCTTTATTGTAAAAAATTAATAACAAGTTTTTAATTGAAGTAAGGGAACTAGTTTACAGCACCGAACGACTAGTCGTATAACACTTACTAGAAGCAGAGATGAAGCGAAACTTGAAGGGTTTTGTGTGTAGTTTATGTAGCCAGTACATAGTAGGAACCATAAAATATTCAGAGGAGGCATTAAGCAATTAGTTTATATGGATCATGTCTTAATTACTTGATCTATTAACAACATAACCATAAACAAAGCCTTTATTTTAAATGTAAAATCTATATTACGAATGTTAGTTGAATTCAAAATATCGTTTACAATTTACAAACCTTGTGAACAAAATACAATAATGATTTATTCCAAAACACTATTATGATGTGTGATGTTGCTAGTTTGTGTGCTCCTCTTTTTAAACCCGACATCATGTGCTGTTTGGAAACATTTTATTCCCCAATGAAATTTAAGAGTCCTCATTTAATTAGTTAAGTAAAAGCAATTAATGGATTACCTGTACTTAATTTACTGGATTATTTTATTGGACAATAGAAACACTTAATATTATAAGTATCCTTTTCAAACGGCAAATTAGGCTTGAAGAATATGACAGTTTATTTACTTGATTTAATTTCTCAGCGTCACTTTAAAGGGTGTGATTAAAGGAACTCAAGAATTATTTAGATTTACTTAATATGTTTTACCAAGGATTTATATAGTATATAAATCCTTGGTTTTACTGTATTATTACCAAAAGACAAAATTATCTATTAATTCATCTTTGGCCGCCTATTGTGTCTAAAAGATATATCTATTTATTTATTTTTTTTCCTTGTCCATCATACAATTTTCCATCATTTTAGTTGCACAAACCTAAAGATCAAATCTAATTGCCTAAAAATCGGGTTAATCTGCCTAAAATATTTCCGAGGGACACCTTGCCCTCATTTTTTATACCTTTCTTTCCGACCCCGCCAAGTACACTTAAATTAGAAACTGGCATTTGGTTGGATACCTGATTTTATCTTGTCGGAATTATTATTCCAAAAATATATGTCACTGGATGATCAGTCATTTCCCCCATTTTTACGAAGCCCTTTCTCCGTGAATTGAGCATGTTTCAAATATTTTCCACAGTAGGTATAGTGTCTGGCTAGGATCGTGTTTTTCGAGTGATTTGATCGTGTTTTTTCGAGTGTGACCACGCGTATTTTTCGAGTACATATTTTAAAAAAAATATACACAAACAGACTTCCTTTCTGGTTAGATGAAACAGAAGATGCTAGAACATTATATAGAAGATCACAGCAGGTAAATCCGTATTTGTAATAAGAAGATACTATCAAACCTATATTATTTTGTTTTAAAAGCGTTTAATCTAGCCTTACAATCTTTATTCCAAAATATAGATTAAAGCCATTTTTATTCACATACCAATTCAAATGTCATCGGAAATGCATTAATAAATTCCAATTCAAATCAAATTCTTTATTTCCTAATCACAGGGACCTTTCGGGCATTACAAAATTTAACACGATCATTCATACGTTCATACCAATCTTTCTCACTCCGCTCGCTCTGATTGTGTTAATTAGAACATACATAAAAGTCATCATATAAAGTATAAATCATAAAAGTCCAGTTTGTGAATAAAGAGAGACAACTCTGATTGTTGAAATAAACATTATTTTTTTTACCAGGTAGATGATCATTTTATTGAGTACAATAATGCTGTTTTCTTTCTGCAACGTTAAGCTTTAGAAATTCACACAATAAAGATAAAAATATGTTGTTTTCATTCATCATTATCTTTAAAAACAGGTTATTTGTACTTAGATATTTTACATTGGGGAATTGGTTATCAACCTGAGATAGTAAAGTTTTTCTCCTATGGTTATATTAAGGACATTGAAGTAAAAATGTGCCTCGTCCTCTACTTGGTTTAAATCACTGAGCAGACAATGCCGTTCACATCTGGGTAATGGTTGTAGTTTTCCGGCAATAGAGTTTTATTTTCTCTCATGCATGTCTTCCAGTTTCTACCCTTCGAGAATGATTACTTATTCTGGATTAAGATAGCATTCATTTTGACCGATTATTTTTATTTCTTATTTCTAAATATTTTTCAAACTGGAATGTAGACTTAAACTAAATCCATATAGGTACACTAACATGAAGATTTCTATATAATAGAATCTATATATACTTGAGATATACAGACACTTTACAAAATGTCTTGTTTTTGCATTGATAAGGACATTTTTGAGAGTAAATTCATTTCATATGTTCGTGTTTTTTCGAGAGTATTCCGTGTTTTTTTCGAGTGCGTCCTTGTTTTATCGAGTTACTAAATTCCTATGGCTTAAAATGTTATATGTAAGTGCATTTACGTTTTAAAAAAAATGAATGGTTCAAATAAGGTAATTTTCAAAGCTAGAAACAATTAATGCATTAAACCAGTTTGATAATTCTGTATATTAACACGTACATTTCATAAAAAAGGCATCGTTCATTTGTATTCAGAAATCTTCATGTTAGTCGGTACCGATATGGATTTCATACAGTAAATATTTCGTGATGTGAACAATCTTCATGTGAGCTCAGACATGTTGGATTGAGACGTACATCTGATGTAGTATGTAAAGCAGATTAATATGTTTTTTAACTGTTTAACAGAAAATACATCCTAAATGTTTCATTAACTATTTGTCTTGATGGTAATATGTGGTATATGTCTAGAAATGGAAATCAAGAACAATATTCAAATGCTCCTACTGAGAAGAGGAGTCTGATCAAGCGTATGCTATGCTTGGTCACACAGAAATAAAGCACCATCATAGCTTCCTTTCCATCAGAAATTAAAAGAATAACAATCGACAATTGCGAGGTATACGCATATTATATACACATTTCGTTTGTTTTTATTATTTCAAAAGGATCGTATAAAAACTTACAGACTATTTATTTCATTGCCGGCTTATTAAACACATTGAATAAGTCCCCGATTTTGCTCAGTAGTCAGTAAGAGTCGGTACTGACAAATTTATAACAAACCTTTTTATGATATTTACCTCCAAAGGGAACAGGGGTTTAGAAATATGGTCAATTAGGTCCTCATTCGACCGGCAGTAAAATCTATCACAACACAAAAGACAAAAAGTACAGATCTGAGAGTACTCGCAGTTACTGACTACTAGTTCAAAGCTAATAACAACTAATGAAAAAAAAATCATGTATCTGCGACTAAAAGATCAATCAGTATACAATCTGCGACTAAAAGAACCATCAGTACACATCCAATGCAACCTCCGAGGGAATTTAGTGAAAAGACGTCATTAACAGTCAGAGAAAAAAACATGACCATGTGCAATGCCAAAATATAGGTGTCGACAGATTGTAGTATCTTGAATGTGCATATGTGCATATGTGCATAACAATAATATTTAGTATGGTTTTAATTTACTCATGACAAAATCAATATGTATACCAATAAAAACAATATTCGAAAGATCTTATTACAGACTGAGTGTTGTATTGGTAACCTTTAGAATAAGTTTATTTAAAGGATTGATAAGTTTACCAGGATCGTATCTAAATTTCCGATCTCGGTAAACAACATCACCGTAAAAATAAGGATGGGGTATTCTGTTTGAAATAAGCTTTCTATAGGTACAGCCAAACTTCCAAACGAAATATTTGTATTTATGGAAGAATTTAGTAAAGGTTTTAAGTAATTTGTGGTAACGGAATCTCTGCCCGACTTAATTATTTACCAGTAATACATATATAACGTTCATATAAATCCAAAACGCCACCTCAGACACGGGCATAGCGAACGCCTTGGGATATATAAACACTGTAAGACAGAGCCAAGGAGCACCGAGCCGACCGTGCGAGGGCTTTATAGCCAGTCAAGGTCGTTAAACACTTCCATCATCAACCAAGGAGCAGCACCGTCCAAAAAGGGAAAATTAACACTAGGGTAGTAATAATTGTAATTCATTTGAGGACGAAAAACGTTTTTGTTAGATGGCAAAATTAACAAAGACTTGATAGATAAAAACCTTTATAAATTCCTTTATATAAAAAATTATTAGAACTGAATCTTGATATGTTTGCTTTATCTTTAATTTAAAGTTCATTACTGTACTATGCTTTAATTAAACTGTATTTTATGTTTTTGTATAATTTGTCACAAAATCATTTAGTGTATAGTGCCACCTGTGTCAATTAAGAGGGTCTGTTGGGCTTTACAGAATAGAGAATAATCAATATGATGGCATAAGAAAAAATGAGGGGAAAAATAAAAGGCCTGAGCAGAAATAGTCGGCCTCGGGGTGCAAAAGACTTAAATAATTAGTGTTGAAAATAAAAGCATCAGTGGGTAATACAATACTGATTACAGAAATGGATGATGTACAGAATAAAGAAACCATCTAATTACAGAAAATTTTAATTGTAAAATCATTTTCACGAGACATTTACCAGAATAAGCGTTATTTTTAAAGACAAAGAAAAATGCCGGGGCCTAATTTTTTTTATTAAAGAATGCGGAAATTGTGTACCCCTCATTCAGACCTAGTAGGAGATAGTATGTCCCAATCAAGACCCTAAATTAAAGATTTGAACTGAGAAAAAAAACTGTTTAAAAACGTTTGATTACCAAACCAACAAACAATAAGTCATTTTTGAAATTGTCACAAAGATTTTTAAAGTTGGTTTTTAGACACAGCTCTGGTTTTTGTTCAGACCGAAACAAAAAATACACAGAGTAGTCTCCCTTTACCATGGCGTCAAATATGTTTGGGACAAAGACATTTGGTGAAAAACCACAAAAATTTCAGATAGAGGAAGGCGAAGAATATTATTATGTCGGATCAGAAGTATGAAATTACATATTGATAAAGATCTCAGCTGAGAAAATTTCAGATTTAGTGTGAAAAATCGGTTTTCTATCGTCACGATCTAAGACTGTTAGATGTAGAGACTAGAGTATCCAATCTGTTACTGAAAATCTGGCTTTCATTTGCTTTAGATTTAAGGTTCATTTATGGTTATAGTTCGTTATAGGGTATAGCTATTGTCAGGGTTATGTATGGGTTAGATTTAGGGTTGAAAACTCGGCTGTCAAATCATAAAGTCAGAATATTTAATTCGGTCCAATATTTAGTGTTCTATTCAATTATGTTCAGAGACGGTTTTGCCAAAAGGTGTGATAAGGTGACACAGCTCAGAGATGTTCTGAATGCTTTCTTTTATAAATTTATCTGCACTCCACAGCTTAAACTCATTAAAAAATTCTGAAAATTACTTAACAAAGTTTCTTTTTCCATGACTTATTTTGCAATTACCAATTTCCACATGACTAGAATGAGCAATGTCTTAAACCTGAATACAGCTTTAGTCCTTTAATATAAGACTTTGTAGGTTCATATTATTGCACTCAACGTTTGTCTGGTTCAGCATTGATAGTTAAAAAAAGAAATTCTGATAAAAAACGTTGAATGCAAATGATATGAACCTACGAAGTCTTATATTATAGGACTAAATACCGCTTATATTTCTAGTTACTGCATCAATGCAGGAGTCTGGGAAATATTTTTTCACTGGCAATTGATATTGATTTTACTGATCATTTATCTTTAGGACAAAAGATGGCTGTTGCAGAATATTAGTCAGTTGTATGTTAATTATAATTGTTAGTCATTTGAATACCTAGAGGGAATTAAAGCAACAGAATATAGCTAGATATACAATTGAACATGTTGAAAGATTTCCAAGGAGGGATATTATTGTATTATAGGATTGGCTGGAGGGCTATCATTCAATTACATGTACATGCATTGAGCCCCACAAAAGATGAATCTATGCATGATGCCTTAGACATCAATATTCAATTTTTTTTCTCAGTCCAACACAAATCGGGTCTATCTTATGTAACTGGAATATCAGACAGAAGCTCAAATAGTTTCTATATCATGTATATGGGTTGGGATCCCAAAAGAACATTGTAAAAGAAGGCTGATTTTTTTTAATCCCTTTTATGATTTTGCATCCTGAGTGATTTTCTGATTTAGCTGACCAAAGAAAACCTCTCAGGACTTTGACTTCCAAAAAGGGATTAAAATCTTTTTACTGCCATTTTTTTCCTGTCATTTTATTTAGATGATTATTTGGAAACAGAAACAATTACTGTAGCAAATCATTGGCAAGATCTACTTTTCAAATAAGTTTGGTTGCTCATTTATCACATTATTGCAGGTCATTATATGCATTATCATTTAAATTAATTTTGTAATGTCAGAAACTTAAATTACCTGAGCAACTCAGCAAGATGAATTATGATATGAGGCAGGTTCTACATGTATCTGATGAGTTCCCAAGTTTATTGATTTTAAGCAATTGGATTTTGCATTTTTGTTTTACTTCTCAGTCTGTCTCAATGTCACATGACTCATAGTGTGTTCCACTTCTCGCTTCAGTGGGAAAGTGGTAGAAACTTTGCCTTGCAACTGATCAACAACAAACTCCTTATTTAAAGAGTTTATTGCAAGGGTTAACTTTCTTTAATACATGTATGTTTAATGTACAGAAAGCTTAGCACTCTCCAAACACAGGCCTCATATATCACATAAATTTAGATGACAAAAATTTTATACTTTTTACAGGTTGGAAACTATTTGCGTATGTTCCGTGGATCCCTTTATAAACGCTATCCCTCGTTATGGAGAAGATTAATGACAGTGGAAGAGAGAAAGAAAGTCTCCACCTTAGGTAATTATAATTTTTCTGGTAAAGCCTACTGCCAAGTCCAGTAAAAATGTTTTCAAAATGTAAAATTTTCCTGAAAAGATATCTTACATGAAATATTGAGACTGTAAAGTAAAGATAACTGTGTAGCGCCTTAAATACATTTGTGTTTGAGAGCATTAAATACTAACATTATGAACATGTATTTTGCAATTTTTTTTATCTATATACATGTATATTGTGGTGATGTGTTTTTTTTTATGAAATCAAATTACTAGGTTCATATGTTGTTTTCTGTTTTATTCTTGACTTTAGGAAGTGGACAGCCTGCATTGGCTACAAATATAACTCTGTTGAAGGGGTCAGAAGTAGACCAGATATTTGAAGGCAATGATGAAAAATTTAAAACCTTGTCAATCAACAGTGAACCTACTTTTAATACGTAAGTAACAGTTAAAACCTTGTCAATCAACAGTGAAACTACCTTTAATACGTAAGTAACGGTTAAAAAGCTAGAAGGATACCAAAATAAAGGAGTTAAACATTCAAACAAATTTCAAAGGAATTCATAGCACAAGGCAAATAGATATAAGAAGATGTGGTACGAGTGCCAATGAGACAACTCGATCCAAGTCATAATTTTTAAAAGTAAACCATCCAGGGGCAGATTCAGGCGGGTGTGTGGCGGGCATGCGCCCCTCCTAAAATTTGCAAAGCATGGGTTGTCTCTACACACTAGAAGAATATTTTTCGATAATTTTACCTCCAAAAAATTTTGGTTTGCGCCCCCCCCCCCCCACACTGAGCCTTGGCTCACACCGAACAGTAAGCTATAAAAGGCCCCAAAAATGACTAGTGTAAAACCATTCAACCAGGAAAACCAACGGTCTAATCTATATAAAAAAAACGAGAAACATGAAACAGTTATGAACCACATCAACAAACGCAACCACTGAACATCAGGTTCCTGACTAACATTTAAAAATCACTTTTTTTCACTATCACAAATGGAACCAAAAGATATATTTATTGCTTTATTTTTATATATAAAATATGTTGATTGTTTGCTGAATTTGAGTTCTTGCCAGCAATAAGTATCAGCTGAAAAAATTTGTTTGTTTTCATAGTGCCATAATTTCATCAAGTTTGGATGAAATTTAGACTTTCATTGTCTCACAAAGATATTCATCATTTGCATTATACATGTACTATCAAAATTACAAACTGGTGGGATATATCAACAATTATTTGGCTAAGCTAGTGGTTTAAAATGAAATGAGCCAAAAGCTGAAAAATTGTGAAGAACAGACAACATTTTGACAATCTTCACACCTACAATATTTGATTTTCTTAACTTATCATGACAGTATTACAATTATTCCTAATAACAGAATTTTCATAAGACTTATTATGCAATGTTACTTACAGAAATAGAGGCAGAACACTCAAAACTATAAATCTCATAAAAACAGACAATTACCAAAATGAAAATTATTGAAAAGACAAAACAAGTCTACAAAACATAGCACAGAAAACTAAAAACCTAGCATCACAAAAAAAATCAAAACAATGGTGCTTTTAAAGAGTAAGTAGAATCTGCTCCACTCTGTCCGTGATATATTTAAGTCCAGAAAATAAATGGTGCTGTTACCTGTCCCCATCCGCAAAAAACACTGTTTTTGAGCTGTGCTAGCATCTTGTTAACTGCAAATTTTTAAAAGTTAGTTGAAAATATGTTTCATAATGTCATGACAAACTCAATTTTTAAATTATTTCATTTCAGAAGTGGGCTGAAACAGAAAAGGGGAAGTAACTGGGTACCAACAGTACCTAGTAGTTCTCATCACCTTGATGCTGTTCCCTGTTCTACTCCTATAAATAGAAACAGACTTGGAAAATCTAAAGTACGGACATTCCCTACATGGTAAGTTTTGTCCTATAAATAGAAAATGTAAGTATGTACATTCCCTACAAAAGTTATATGATAAAATTTGTTCTGTGTTTGTGCTTTGAAAGGTAGATTTCTGCATAGTATAGAAATAGGAAGCAGATATATAACATCCTTTTAAAACAAATCTATTATTATATAGTCAAAATCTAAGGTAAAAAATAGTCACAAGATTTTACTCTATTTTTCAATCTGTAGGTCAGTTTCTAATATTAATCCTGTCAGCATGGGCATTCAGGGGTACAACTTGTACAGGTTTTTTTATTTGCTTGAAGAAGTAAATATTAATATACTTATATAAGTAAATTTGTAAGATACTTTTTACAAGTGTATTTTATTTACTTGTATAATTAAATTATTTTAATGGCTTAGTTATGTCCCTTAGGCATTCAGATTTTTTTACTTATACAAGTAAAAATTCATACTATCTTCTTTTCTTGAATTTCTCAGGACTTCTTTGCTTTAATGGAATTTTTAATTGTCTGTCCTTTGCAGATGTCTTTACTTATCATTTATGTGTAATTTCATGGACAGTGAACATCTCATTTGTCTGCTATCTTCAAAACACTGCTCATTTACAAGCCTTCAAGGGGCAATTTATGAAGGCCTTGCACAATTACTTAAGATCTTTGCGCAATTAGTTTCTTTGTTGAATTAATGAGATGAAACGTTGAACTCTAATAAAAAATTATGAGCTAACCAGAGAAAAATTGTTTAAGGCATGTTTTTACATCCCAAAACTTAAGAATTTTAAGGATTTAAAAAAAAATTACTTTTACAAGTTTTGAGAAAATTAAGGGGAGATTATTCAAACCTTATAAGAAAATATGAATATAACAAATCTACTTATATAAGTATATTATTATTAACTTCTTCAAGGAAATAAAAAAAATTGGAAAAAGTTGTACCTTTGACTGATGGGAAAGTACTTAGTATACTCTAAAACAAGTTATTTTTGTGGATATTTTTTCCACCTTTAGACCTTTCTATCCAACTTAACATAAAGATTTTTTTTAATTTTTAAACTGTTGAAGGAGATGTAGTATAATTGCCAATGAGTCAGCTATCCAACAAATATAGTTCAAAAGATGTGTAAAAACCAATACCACATATTAAGTGATAATAGGAACCTGGTATGAAAAAATGTGAAACTATTGAAAAGAGAAGACTAACCGCCTGAATTAAGCCAAAAACAAGAGACAAGAAACAAATATTGTAAATCAACAACCGGTTTAATAATTTATGAGTAGAAAAATAACTTGAATAGAAATAGTGGTGAATATAAGTACACCAAGAAAATTTGAATAACTCAAAAATAAATCTCTACGACTACCAATTTAGCTGTATAGGGTAAATTAGATGGATAACAGTATGTCAAACAGCGTTAAGGAGAACAACTTAATTACAAGCACATAAAGAATGAGGCAGTATTTAACAGTACATGTTAGGACATATTCATGACAATTTGTAATAACAGTCTTTTTCTGGTTGCGAAAGTCTCATAAATAAATCACTGAAACAAATTAATTGTTGCACAGTATTAGGTGAGTCTAATATAAATAATTTTGTTTTGATTTTAGTTTTGACGACTCTGATCCTGCTCAGATCCACGATAATTCTAACCAACCAGAACAGCTGATACCAATTAGACTCGACATGGAAATAGATGGACAGAAACTTCGAGATTGCTTCACTTGGAATAAAAATGGTATGTTCACTTTTGAGAATTCATAAATTTTATATGTAATTTTTCCACAAATATCCACGAAAAATACAATTTTTCCCCTGTCCACGAAAATTGGTATTCACACAAAAATAAATGAATCCACAATATTATAAACACAAAAAAAAAGGAGAAAATTGATAATTACATATTTCTTGAGCATATACTTGAAACTTTCAAAAGGTCTACATAAAAAATATTACTGGACCTAAGTTTTTATTAGTGCAAACAAATAAATCTATTGAAAGGGGAGATCACTCTTAATTTTACTTATATAAAAATAAGGAGATGAGGTATGATTGCCAATCAGACAACTATCCATGTACATATTTTGCTAGAACGATATGCCTGCCTAGTGATATGCTTTAATACACAAGCCATGGTTAGCTTTTATCCTTCAATATATTTTTTTTTCATTCCTCACCAAAATATGTCACTCAAACATTAAAATTGACACTTCCAGACAGTCAAAGTTTTGTACAGTCTACAGAAACCCTTTAAAAAGTCAAAAATTAGCAAGGTGCAGACAATTTACAAAACTAACCTTGTGAATTATATATTTATAGCAAAAAATGTGACATATTTACTGAAGAGATTACATTAAAATACCTTGAAAATCGGTATTGAAACTGAATTGAAAAAAAAGGTCAAATTACTTTAAATTACTGAGTTTAGATGTAAATTCAGAAATTATTTTGTGCATTTATTATTGCGATTTTTAAAATTAAAATATGAGTTTAATTATTGCGATATAAAGAAAAGCTGCATACTGATACAAGTATCAGATAACAAAATGCGAGTTCTTATGATTGCTATACTAATCCAGTCACATTATTTGCATTGATAAAAACCTCACAATAATTTCTGAATTTACAGTACTTTAATGGTCTATCCCTTGCAAACCACTGTCTGTAATTTATTTAAATATTGTATTTATTTAGCCTTATATTTAAGAATTAATAGAACGCTGACTTGGTCAGTAAGTTTAAACCAGAAAACAAATAGACAGACTAATTATACTTTGTTTTTCCAGAGGGTTTGGTCTCACCTGAACAGTTTGCTGAGATCCTATGTGATGATTTAGATCTGAATCCTATTAATTTTGTCCCCGCTATATCACAAGCTATCAGACAACAGATTGATGCCTATCCCACAGATAATTTGTTAGATCAACAATCTGACCAGAGAGTTATATTAAAGGTAAAATATCCATTAAATACATAATCTTTAATATTGCATTATTCTCTTAATTTGTATGTCATAAACATTACAAATCATTACAAATCCCCCATTTAAACTTGAAAGAAGCTGTCTCAAGATACATGTAGCATGGATCTGTTTTGGGTAAAATCTTTTGGTCAGTCATGGTTAAATCTTAAGTGAAAGTGAAATGCAGTATTCTATATAAATAATTTCATCTTGCAGTTTTCAAGTTATTATTTGAAAAAAATTGGGCAGGAAATGATAGATTTCTGTTGATGGTTCCCTTATTATTTTCACTATAGCTTAATATTATACTAATATATATACCCCCACTTAAGCAACTATCTCAGTGGTATCGGTAGTGTGCTGGCTTTAAGTGAGGAAGGTTTTGGTTTCAATCTGGGACAGGTCAAACCAAAGACTTGAAAATTGATCTTTGCCATCAGAGAAGCATGCAGCATTTAGGACTAAATGTAGAGACAATTTGCTCCAAGTCAAGTAGGACAAATATCAATGTATTGCCACTGACTGTTACTTTGGGAGCTAACATGAAAAAAATAAATAAAACAAGCATGTACTTTTCTTGGCTTTAAGAGTAATAAATTCTAAAACATACTGTAACAATATTATGTGGTACAAGTTTTTAGTTTCTTTACAAGATACTCAGATTTGTAGTCCTAAAAATAAAAAAAAATTATATATTATATGGTTTCATTTGACACAAGAAAAAGTACAGGGGGATTTAAGAGCGAATAAATTTTAATAGCATCATTTTTGTACTATTCCCAAAATAGCATTAGTTGATGTCATGTTATTGCTTCTAGTTACTGGTAACTAGTCCCATCAATGAATGCACATGATTATTTCCAAATATTTTATGTATTTTCAGCTAAATATACATGTTGGTAATATATCTCTGGTAGATCAGTTTGAATGGGATATGTCTGAACCAGATAACTCACCAGAAGAATTTGCCAATAAATTATGTGCTGAATTAGGTAAGAAATTAGAAAAGCACAAGCAAAAAATGAAAGATGTACTCAAAAACTCTCCTCTTTTTAAGCAGTTAAGCTGCTTTATGCGAGCACCCTAGATTTGTGTTCTACCCAATAAATGCTGAAATATGTGCCATTGTTATTATCTGGCTGGCTATTATGTTATTTATATCTAATTAATTGAACACTTTTTTCATACTTTTAATTCTGGAATACAAAAAATATGACCAGAAAAACCTTAAATGATCGTCGAACCACCCAAAAGTTTTGAAGTTGCACATAGGAAGTAGTGCTCAATAGATATCCTTATGTAGTTTATTATCCCCTGTGCTTTTGGCCAAGATGTCAAAGAACAATTGCATGAATTATTTCATCGCCGAAAATCTCTAATTACAAGTCGTTTACAGTTGCCAAATGGCACAAAGCGCAGGAATATTGTATAACGGCTGTGACTAATATGACACGGAGTTGAAGTCTCAGTTGGCGGTAATTTTAACTTCGTCGACAAAACGTAAATCAAGGACGTTTTAAATTTGGTGATTTCTGATAATAATCATTTTGTTCAACCGCTAGCTTTATACCGAAAATCGCCAACATGTTATGTGTAAATCCGAGTAAATCGTATCTGACTGACAAAAACAACATTGAAAAACAATGGATGCCATAAACCGGAAATGAAGACAATTATAATACCGGATCTAATTCCGGGGGCGGATAAGGGTAATTCCGGGTTTGCCGATCAAATACAATAAAAATATAATAATTCCAGGCATGAGACAAAATACATCTATCATGATGAAATATAAACTCTAGAATTGAAAACCAAAGATATATTGAAAAGAAAGAAAAAGCAGGAAATATTTTATAAAGAAACTCAAAATTACTTTTAGTTCACAAATTTTCATGTCAAAAACCAATAAAATGTGACAGTATTTTCCTTATCATTAATAAATATTGATATTACATGTAGATGTTTTTATTGTTTAAACATATTACTACAATTCCATGAGGTAATTTCTTCTCAATTTTGAAGGGCCTATAAAAATCTGGAAGTTTCTTACTTTATTTTCACAGAGGAACTAGCTAATATAATATATAGTGCAACTAGATATGATACACTTAAACAGTTTTGAATTTGAACTGTTTAATATAATGGTATAATTAGTAATAAATAATCAATTGTTGAGACAACACACCCACCCACAGTGATACCCTCAGCCTCCCTCAGCCTTCCTAATACAAAAAAAAAGATTATTTGAATTCATAAATTAATATACAAGACAATTACATTTATTATTAAACATGTTAAACGACAGTGACACTGACAATGAAACAAGCTAACTTAACACCAAAAGCACATTAAAGTACTTACTGAGTTATGAACTATTTCAAGTAAAAGCAGGACCTGGAATTTAGGTTGTGGACCTTTCAGTTTGGAGTGTCAAAGGTCCTGGACTGTCCAGTACCAAATGTTAATTTTAACCCCTGCATTCACAGTAAAGCGATTTTGACGTGTATTGCAATTCCAAGTAGAATTTACTTTTGGACATTAAACGTTTCGAATGTGTATTAAACTAATTCAAATCAGTTAATAATGTGAATCGAATTCGAATTATGTGTGAACGCAGCATTGATATATCTAAGAAATCAAGAATATTAAAAAAAGATGGACAAAATATTTGTATTAAATTTGTTGCAATTTTTGTCTTGCCTTGACAGAGTCAAAAAGTGAGACATATATATATATATAGGCATGCTGTTTTGTCGGAATCAACAATGTATTAGTTTGTGATTTTGTGATAAGGTCTGGTTTCTGGTAGGTCAATGACATTTTGTAAGTAGTTGTGTTAGCATAGGCACATCTCATTACCATAGAAAATATTTGGCCCCACCCCCTTAGTCATGGTCTATTGACTTTGAAACTTTGCATAGTTTACATGTATATGTTTGTGATTAGGTCAGTTTAGGGGGAACCACTAGTGGTAGGTCAATGATATTTGGTGTGCAGTTGTATAAACTTTTTCATTTCTAATTTCCATTGAGATTATTTGGCCCCGCCCCCTCAATCATGCTCTTTTTACTTGGAAACTTATGCTACTTTGAAATTTCATTTATTAGTTTTCGATTAGGTTAGTATTAGGGAAACCAATAGTGGTAGGTCAATGATAATTGGCATGTAGGTGTAGAAGCATTAGTACGTCTCATTTCCATAGAGGATATTTGGTCCTCACCCCTCAGTCATATGCATGATCTATTGACTTTGAAACTTTTACTTAGTTTACATACACTTCACCTTTTACTAACTCAATGGAAGCAGTACCTCCCTTGGAGCGAAGCCAGTTGAATTGGTACAGGATGGCCAATGGGGTGTTGTCCAATTTGGAAATGAACTGACATTTTATGAGCTACTTCCATCATTTCTACAATATTACCACTAGAAACTTCTATGAGGACCACTACACAGACGTGCAAGAATAGCCGATAACCACATCATTAATAACTTTATTGACTAACTTTCTCTTTTAACTATACTAGATTCTTATTTTACTTTCACTTTCACTTTCTATTTATATCCATAACGTCGTCATAACAACCTCTATTGTTTGGCAAACCACACAACCGCAAAATTTGTACTTCACTGTTTGATTTCATGTATAATATTGTCCTGAAGACGCCACGCTTGTTGGCGAAACATGTCGACCACAATAAATTAATCACCATGCGGTAATTGATGGGTGTTGTTGTCTTTAATGTCGTTTATTAGTTTACATGAATGAGTTTGTGATTATTATGATTATGTCAGTTTAAAATTACCAGTAATCTTAAGTCAAAGCTATTTGGTATGCGAACGTATTGGTATTCAAAAGTTTCATTTCCATGGATATTATATAACCCCACCCCCTCATTATGGTTCATTGACTTAGAAATTGAATTTGTGTTAAGGTTTGTTTAAAGGGAACGACTTATGAAAAGTCAATGGTATTTGGTTTGCAGTTGAACAAGCATTGGCACCTTTATAGTGTAGATAGTTTCAGGTATGATTTGATAATTGTGCATAGTGGCACCAGCTGATCCAACTAAAAGCGCTAATATGGCATATTCAAACTCTAGTACATAGTGGAATTAAACCATACACCACTGTTGGACACCATAATTGAAATTATTATTCTGAAAAGAATATTCCTCCATGCAGCCTGCAACAATTAGCAAAACCTATACTGCATAGTAAGATATAAACGACCACGAAATGACAAATGTAAAACAATAAAACTAAAGCAGCCTGATTTATGTACAAAACAATTATGAAAAATAAATATGATATACAGCAACAATCAACAATCACCAAATTACTGGGTCCTCACTATGGACAGGGACATACAGAATGTGGCGGGTTAAACATGTTAGCTGGCACAAAACTCTCCCCTAACATGGGACAGTGTATGTGCATAATCTCAGACATTAAATCTTTAAAAAATAAATTGGAATTAACTTTTGAAAGTGGTAGGATTGGATAGCAGAAACATTACGGTACAAACATTATTTGATACTTGAGAAATAGCTGAGATATATAGATTCTACCACTGCATCGAGTGTGATACGATATTTATCCACTCAAGACAGTTAAATTTTCAAATTTAAAACGCGAGGCTCGCCGAGCGTTTTAAATATTTAAAATTTAACTGTCGAGATTATCGTATTACACGAGATTTGGTGGTGGAATCTGTTTCTCTAATGATTTTCAAACAATATGCAGGCAAACTTATTCCGTCTTTTCGAATGATCTGTAAAAAGATGTGTTCTTTCTATGTGACGTCATCAGGCATGGTCGCCTTTTTGCATGTCGTCACAATAGGAAATTCAGAGGAAAGCAAGTAAATTCGACGTCATAATCGGATTTTAACCAATGAAGAACTGAGATCAAATCAACCACACGTTGATTAAATTTTTTTTATACAATGGGTGCAGAAAGGGATAAATTGACGAAGAGTTAGAGAAAAATATTTTCATCCATTCTTCCACTATATTCATCTTAACTTCTGCCAAGTTTACCTTTGATTTTTTTAATTAACTGCCTATAGCGCCTTTGGTGCTTTGATTTCATATTTGGGGCCCATGTCACCTCTGCTTGGGTCTACCCCTGAAAAGTGTATAATTAAAAGTAAGAAACTTCTACGGTAAACAACACAAATATGAATAACTTGAGAAATGGGTATACATATGTGAAACAAAATTATATTCCAAGATCTAAATTTAATAACTTCAACAGAGAAGAATACCATAGTATATACATTAAGATTTTAGTCCTTTTGAAGAAGGGGAAGGTCTGTGTTTATATTTATACAGTGATATTTTTATTCCTTGAGTATTCCAATTTCGGTGTTTAGTTTTTCACCAGATGGTTTTGGGTATCACATTTGCTGTTTTCATTATTTTTCATGTACTTGATTATTACCGGTAACAGTTTGTTAGGGCAGTACTATTTTGTGATTTTGTAGATGCAAAAAACTGTAAATAAGTTTTATTATATAAAAAAATACTATGAATTCAGAAATTTTTCTGATATTTTTATGATTATAGTGAAAAATATGACTGTATTAGTGATGCATTAGTTCGACCTAAATTTTAAATGTTCAAATGATTTTTACACTGCTATTTTGAAATAATGTTGCATCATGGGAACGTCAGTTTAACTATCATTTTATCTTGTTATAGGTCTAGGTGGTGAATTTGTTACAGCAATCTCATATAGTATAAGAGGACAGTTAAGTTGGCATCAAAGAACTTATGCTTTCAGGTAATTATAAAACCAGTATAGTTTTGACTGATAGTATTATGCTATTACAATGGTTTGCCATATTTTTTTAAATTCCACCAACTGATATTGCTATTTAAATTTTTTCAAAGGGATTTTTTATATCCCAATAAAAAGCAATTTCCATGTCTGTGTGGTCTCTTTGGCAACCTTTCAACACTGTATATGAATATTTAAAAAAAGAAAGTTTGATTTAACTTATTAGAATATTTAAATGATATCATATGCATTGAAAGATTCCTTTATTGTAGGTTTATAAGCTTCAACCATTGATACATTTTTAGTTTCACATGCTTTTAGGCTTCATTCAAAAAAGATGCTTTTACACCCCAAATAAAAATACAAAAAGGAGCTTTTGATTCATAAAACAATCAATATTGATAAACAGGAAATTGATTCAACGTACAATGCATTGTTATTTATCATCTGTACAAAAACTAGTTGTTAGATATGATCGTAATACTTTATTTCAGTGAAGCACCATTACCAACAGTAGAAGTAGCCATTAGAAACCAAAATGAGGCTGATTCTTGGTGTCCATTTCTAGAAACATTAACTGATGCTGAGATGGAGAAAAAGATCAGAGATCAAGATAGAAACACAAGGTCATAAAACATTTAAAATAGGAACATTTTTTTGGAACAAACTATAATAATGAAATATCAGAACATTCTATAAAAGGGCAGGGATGTTTCTATACCATTTTGTAGCTTGTTATCAGTATTTTCAGAAATAAGTCTGTTAATACCAGCATGACCAGTTTTGGCAATTATGGGAGTAGCTATTCATCAGAACTGTTTCAATTGTATATGAACATGATCACCACAGAACATATTTATCACCAAGACTTTATACAAACATGACTGCAGGCTGTTGAGGCTGTACAAGAAGAATTTCTGCCAATATAATTCCCTACATGGAGACCTTCTTTTGTCATGTAATTGGCTTTATGTCTGTATGCCAAGTGCTTTTGTAATAGCAGACTGCCAATATCTTTTAAAATTTTTGATACATGTAGATTAAATTTCAAGATCGCCTTGTTGAAGCAGATTGTTGAAAACACATTAACTGCTTTGGTTAGCCCCTTCAATTGGTTCAAAATTGTGGAATATGATGATAAAATTTGAGACCATCTAGTACTCAAAATCCCATGAATGGGTAATTATGTTGAACATGAATATTTCAGACTATATACATAAATATTTCACAGTTTTTCACAACAATGATTATGAGAACTGTAGAGTAAAAAATTACCAAACTTTTGAAGGGAAAGATTTAATAGGGTGCTCAAAGCTAAGGTCACTGAACATGTTTCCATATATATGGGATGTTTTCAGATCTTTTAGCAGCAATAATAAAATCTAGCAGTGTGAAGTGAAAGATCTGATTTCAATCAGATTGAAATCAAAATAGGATTCGTAATATATATATACTTCATTGTTTCTTTTTTTAATTTCAGGAGAATGAGAAGATTAGCCAACACAGCACCAGCATGGTAGAGAGCATTGAACAAAGAAGTGTTTATCATTATCATTATCATCACTACACAATGATTTGTTCTACCCACCAAATGTGTTTGACATTGTTCATTTTGTATAAATGTATGAATGCATTTTCAACAATATGCTTCAAAGATGTCAGATTTGATTCAAATTTGTGTGTATAAGTGTGTTTGAGAATAGTATGAAACAGTCCATTTTACATATGTATGTAAATATAGTTAGATATTGAATATCTGAACTCTGATTTTCTCAGCAGCTACAAACAGTAATGTTACAGAGTATTTTGTGGTGTAATAGATCAACAGTTAAATAATTCAGATCAAATTTCTATGATTGTTTTGCTCACTGCCAGATTATTTGAAGGTATTAAATAATTCATCTGTGTTATAAACATGTACTTTATGTCTTCATGAACATCAAATATTTGTATACATGTACCAGAGTTAATATTAAGTATGTAAGAATTTTAAAACTTGTAAGATATACAGAATCACATTGAATTTTACTAGCTACAAAACCTTAGCAATTATTTTGAATGACTTCAGTCAATATATAATGGATTGTCTCCCTTACACTGTAATTTGTTCTGAGTACTGGAATGGATGTTGAATGTTATGCTTTGTATGTATTATAATGTGCAATAAAAATAATTAATATCTGATTTACTTGACTTTTGATTTAAGTTGGGCTAGCAACACACTTATTGAAAAATTCAGGAGGGTCTAAAGGAGGTTTTTTTTTATTTCTGCATTTTAGTTTTAGGTCATTTTCTTCTCTATTCTGTATTCTTTTTCATCCATTATTCTCTATTCTATTTATTTTAGCACTCTATTTTCTTTATTCTTTATTTTCTGGTCGACTATTCTCATATCTGTGAATCCCATACCTCTCATACATCTTCAATAGGTGTATAAAAATATGCCGGATTAACAACTTTATCATATTTCACCAGAAAGTCCATTGCATTTTGAACAGTTATGCATACAATCACTGAATGTATTTCTTTGGATTGCTTCAAGGATTTATTTTCTTACTCATTTGTGAAATATGGCAAGTTCTTGTAGCATTTTTAAGGAGAGATATAACAGTATACCATAGAATATGATAAGAGGTTCTTGTAAAAAAAAAATGGAAGAAAGGATTTGCTGTATGACACAAAATCAGTAAACGCAAAAAAGAAAAAGCAATGGAACAGTACTAATATTTCTATTCTTCTCAAAATCAGAAAAAGCTTTCAACATGGAGCACCCACACATGGCAGGTTCAATTGACTCTTAATTGAATAGTGAGCTAGTTTTCTTGCTGAAGGTTGGTGGTTTTCTCCTTGTACTTTTGGCTTCCACCACCAATAAAAACTTGTGGCCACGAAATAGCCAATAGTGCCGAAAGTGGCGTTCAACACTAAATAGTCAATCAATCATTCAACATGGAGCTGTATCCCCTCCCTACAAATTTAAAAGATGACCCTTTAACACTGGGCGAGTGATATACAGCTGTTGGATTACCCTTGAAAAAAGCATTTACTTCAGTTAGGCAACAACCATTTAACTTCAAGGGGGGAGGTTATGGTTTTTTCCTAAAAAAATATTCTGATCCCCATTTTGATGAAAAAAAATATTGCATTCAAGCAGGTAACAAAAAAAAAATATTCTGAATCCAGATTTTCCCCATACCTTATAGTGTTAAATTTTGAAAAAAATAATTTTATTGATAGCGTCGAAAAACTAAAAAAAAATGTTTGCGCTTTGCGCCATACAAAATTCTGACTCAGACAAAAAACAATAACCTCCTCGAAGTTAAATGGTTGCTCCCTTATGAAAGTTCCATATATCAGACACCTGATCAACATCCCTTTCCAGTCACAACTGATCATAACAGACACTTGCAATAAACCATTTCGTGATTAGAAATGAAACAGGAATTTAGTTATTCAGTTAAATGCAAATTCTCCATAGGCAAGACCTAGTATGCAGAATTTGTCAAAACCAGAAAAACATATAAAAACTATATAAAAACAATCCAAGGAAATCGACCTAATGAAAATTTTTAATTATCTGAATTATTACTATTAACTGAAAAAAGCAGAATGATTGTGATAAGGAATTTTGGACGTTAAAACATGATAATCCATTCTCTAAATTTAGAATTACTATTAAACTCACTTTGTAGTTCAATGAATGTTGGTTTGTTTTTTGTCTTGACTGCAAAGAAAGTTGCAGAATGCGAGACAGGGATTACTATTTGGCGGCAGCGTAAACTATTTGTATAAAGTGTTATATTTCAGAAGGTTTAAAACATGGATGCTTCATATGCAGATCGAAAAAATTTAGTTGTTGAGTTATGCCATAATTATATTTGGAATATGGGATCCTTGCAAGGTTTACATGTCTGTCTCTCAAGGTTCACTTGACCTCGACCTCATTTCATTGATCAGTGATCATGTTAAGTTTTTGTGGTCAAGTCTATCTCAGATGCTATAAGCAATAGGTCAATTGTATTTGGTGTATGGAATTATTGTAAGGTGTACATATCAGACTGGCAAGTTTTATCTGACAGTGACCTCATTGTCATGGTTCATTAGTTAATTGGTCGAGATAAGTTTTCGTGGTTTTGACTCTTTTAAACTAAGTCATAAGATTGCTTATGACATTTTTGGTGTACTTTAATAGTGTGTTTGGTATTTTACAAAATATTTGGTCAAAAGTTTATTTCAAGGATCAAGGTTTTAATTGGTATACGTGAAATATTCATGTAGTGGTTCTTACTCTACTGCAATACTTTATATAGATTGGCCACACAGGTGAACAAATTTTAATGCAATTTATTTGTCATTATATGTTGATCCAAGGGGATCACTGAAGCCACCCCTTGACCTTTTCCCGACTGCCAGTAAAGCCCTTGCCAAAGTCCTTTTGGCTGCGTGGGCTGTACAAGTTCGCAGACATGTCCAGTCAGAATGGGGACATTAATTCCAAGGCAGTGGCTCTTTTGCCGGCACCAGCAAAATAGAAAATATGCTATTTTGCCGGCTCTGATTAAAATATCTTAATTCAATCCGGCAAAATAACATATTTCTATAGAAATGGCTATTTTACCGGCACCGACAAGATAGTGAATTTGTTATTTTGCCGGTTCTTTGTAAAGAGTGAAATTTAATATTTACTTTTAACAAGTAATAAAAATAAAAATATTGAGCATCCATTTGTTGCATTGAAATCATATCAAAACATGTAGTTGAAATTATTTCTAAAATCAGTCACAGCCTAATGCTACAATGTAACATGTATGCATAAGAATAAAATCTCAGATTTTTTTAACTGTATGTTATAAAAAAATAAAAGTTAAAAATGTCATTGCATCATAAGTTTGAAAAAAAAACCATTATACAATATAACAAAATCAATCACATAGCTTCAAAAATCAAAACTTTTGAAATAATTGTCAGTTCTTTAAAAGGCATATATGTAAACAAAATAGTTTTTATTTACATTGTGTCATAGGTCAAATTTATTTGTTCAGTGTATGTTCAATTGTGTTAATATGTCCTTTGATTGAGTTAAGCTATTTCAGTTGATATTTTATAGTGTGTCTTTCTATGTTGTGATGTTACACTATTGTTTCAGAAAAAGGGTGAAGGTTTGGTACCATTAAAACGTTTAAACCCGCTGCATTTGTTTGCACCTGTCCTAAGTCAGGAATCTGATGTTCAGTAGTTGTCGTTTGTTGATGTGGTTCATAAGTGTTTCTCGTTTTTTATATAGATTAGACCGTTGGTTTTCCCGTTTGAATGGTTTTACACTAGTAATTTTTTGGGGCCCTTTATAGCTTACTGTTCGGTGTGAGCCAATGTTCCGTGTTGAAGACCATACCGTGACCTATAATGGTTTACTTTTATAATTTTGACTTGGATGGAGAGTTGTCTCATTGGCACTCATACCACATCTTCTTATATCTATTTAACTTGGCTTCCGCTTATCAAGAGCCGGCAAAATAGCATATTTTCTATTTTTTCAGCGCCGACAACAAATTCACTATATGGTCGGTGCCGGTAAAATAGCCATTTCGATAGAAATATGTTATTTTGTGCCTGATATTCATATGATGAAGACATAATCTTCTAATCAGTTTAATTGAGGTCTGGAGCTGGCATGTCAGTAACTGCTAGTAGTCTGTTGTTATTTATGTATTATTGTCATTTTGTTTATTTTCTTTTGTTTCCTATTCTGACATCGGACTCGGACTTCTCTTATGCTGAGTTTTACTGTACGAACTGTTGTGCGTTTGTTTTTTCTACATTGGCTAGAGGTATAGGGGGAGGGTTGAGATCTCAAAAAACATGTTTAACCCCGCCGCATTTTTGCACCTGTCCCAAGTCAGGAGCCTCTGGCCTTTGTTAGTCTTGTATCATTTTTAATTTTAGTTACCTGTGTATAATTTGGAGTTTAGTATGACGTCCATTATCACTGAACTAGTATACATATTTGTTTAGGGGCCAGCTGAAGGACGCCTTCGGGTGCGGGAGTTTCTCGCTGCATGAAAGACCCATTGGTGGCCTTCGGCTGTTGTCTGCTCTGTGGTCGGGTTGTTGTCTCTTTGACACATTCCCCAATTCCATTCTCAATTTTACTATTTTGCCGACTTGAATTAAGATATTTTAATCAGAGCCGGCAAAATAGCCACTGCCTAAATCCAATGCCTATAGTGTTGAGGGAGTGCCACGCTCTCTGCAGGTTAAAAACCTTTGCAACAACTCTTAAGGCAGCCTGGAGCAAGGCTTAATTTCTGTACCAATCCAATATACTCTCTTTTATCAGTGGCATTCCAAATATTCCGTCCTTCTTCTTTCTATCCTCTATCACAGGACCTACATATGGTATTTTTTAAATCTTATACTTTGTTCGCGCCGTGAACATGCATGAAATATTTGTCACTGGACGTTAAGCACTCCTGTTTCAACTCAAAATTTGCTTTACACATTCAATGATTATTGCAACATTGTCCAATTGTTAGTCATACTTTTTAATGAAAGATCAGAGGTAAAAAGTCTGGATCTCAACTTACCACTTGACGTGTATATTAAATTTGGAAACGTACACGTGCATCCAATCTTTATCAAAGCTATAAATGATTATTTTATTTTTCAAAGTACAAGGTAACAAGGGGTCAGAGTATAGGCGTTGTAAAGCGCAGTTACAACATTACTAATATATTGAGGGTTAAGCTTACATGCCCAGACCAATTGGAACAATTTTAAAGTTTGAACCTTTATTTCAAGGACGTACAGACATGTGGAATAGTTTCCAATTATGAAATAAAAACAGCTTTGATTTTTGAAGAAAAAACATTTGTTCATGTGTCCTATTTTAGTTTTTTTTTTTTATTAAAATTGACGTTTGTAAAATTAGAAAGAAAAAAACAATATAGTCTTCGTTCAATGAAGCATATGTACATGGGACAGGACATGTTTTTGCCCTCCCCTTTTTTCTAAAATCTGCTATTTTTTTTTCTTTTAATTTCAATGATTTTCGATTTTTTCTGTATTAGACTTATTAGAATTTCCTAGAAATTACATTTAAAATTGAGAATGGAAATGGGGAATGTGTCAAAGAGACAACAACCCGACCATAGAACAGACAACAGCAGAAGGTCACCAACAGGTCTTCAATGCAGCGAGAAATTCCCGCACCCGGAGGCTTCCTTCAGCTGGCCCCTAAACAAATATATATACTAGTTCAGTGATAATGAACGCCATACTAAACTCCAAATTGTACACAAGAAACTAAAATTAAAAATAATACAAGACTGACAAAGGCTAGAGGCTCCTGACTTGGGACAGGCGCAAAAATGCGGCGGGGTTAAACATGTTTATGAGATCTCAACCCTCCCCCTATACCTCTAGCCAATGTAGAAAAGTAAACGCATAACAATACGCACATTAAAATTCAGTTCAAGAGAAGTCCGAGTCTGATGTCAAAAGATGTAACCAAAGAAAATAAACAAAATGACAATAATACATAAATAACAACAGACTACTAGCAGTTAACTGACATGCCAGCTCCAGACTTCAATTAAACTGATTGAAAGATTATGTCTTCATCATATGAATATCAGGCACAATCCTTCCCGTTAGGGGTTTAGTATCATACGTTTACTTTTTACAATTAAATGCTAGTTAATTATCAGCAGTGGTCATTGTTGATATAATATGTCAGTCTAGCACTATAAAAAAAACCCGCTAAAATAATTGAAATTTAAAGAAAAAAAACCGGGTTTTGGACAAAAAGGGGGATGGTGGATAAAAATTGTCCTGTCCCCAAGTATCTTTGCAGAGAATTGTTGTTCCGCCTTGAATTGTTTAAAAGTTGCACTCTACACAGCTGCAATGCATTCTACTGCACACACACACACACACAAACAAAATCAACGCGTGTTTTTTTTTTTTGTCAAAAAGAATTGGGGGAATTTGCACTATCTAGATTTAAAGAATCCAAGAGAGGGAGAGAGGGGATTAAAATAGATTTGTATAACTGACATCAATTTCCTGTGCCAATTTCAGATGTGAAATCGAACAGGTCAAAAGTACATTTAACCTTTTTTAAAGTGCATGAAAAGTACATCGAAATAAAAACGTCTGATTGGTCATTAAATGTGTAAAGATTTCAGAAACAAAGGTCAACTTTCATTCACTTTTTTTGGACAATAATTGCATGCGGCATTGATTTTACCTGTTCAAAGGTGTGAAAAACTTGTAGATTTCATGCTTATCTTTGGCTTTGAAGATGACTGAAAACTACATCGATTTATTTGAAAGATTGTCGAACACTGAAAATGACAATTTTATTGAAATTGTCCCGTTACTTGGAGAAGTTGCCTCTACGCTGATCCTAAATTGTCTTTTTGATGAATTTGGTAAAATTCTGAAGAATATAGAGGTCTCGAAATTAAATATTTTGAAAGACAACGAGAAGTTTCTTCGAGCAATGATAGCATTCTACTATGAAAAGAAAAGCTATAGACAAGTCTTCGAAATGTTGGCGGTAAGTAGAATAACAAAACTTCATTTCAGTTATGTGTCTTCATTTAAGATGTGAAAAAAAAATTGAAAATTTTGCGGAAATGGTATTTTTTTTATATACAAAACACATTGGTGGTCACTTATTTAATTCTCAGTGGATTGACATTCAATATTCTAGACATTTTCTTGCAATTTGAGAAAATGTGTAAATTTTTTTTTTTACTTGCCTTAAAAATTTAAAAAATATATTTACTTATGTAGTTAGTTGGTTAGATAGTTATTTCGTTTAAGGAACATAAGACAATATAATTTCAAATCAAATTATATATTAAGGCTTTAAGGATCGCTGTTTTCATTGATTTTTCAGAACTGAAATAGCGATCAAATTATATATTTGTATTTTTAATATTCAAAACAAGTCTTAATGACTAAGCAAAATACACTCTTTGCTATTTTGCTATAATTTTCATATCTACATGCAAAGAATTTTGTACATTTCACAAAGTAAAACAGGGACAGAGAAGAGAATTTAACAGAGTGGTTGTTAGCAATTGTATCTTTTTTTTTTATATATTTTGTAGAACTAATTGATAAATTTTGTTTAATTTCCTTTATTTACAAGTCGAGTTTCTAAAACAACATCGGATCCTCAACCAAATGTATTTCAATATTTTAATCATGCATCCTGGTCTTTTATTTTGTTTTAATGAATTTCATCGTTGTCCGAAAATATTTGATTTGCGGGATGCCATTAGATATGAAGCTGAATTACAGTTATTGGTATTTCGATTTATTTATATATCGGAGGGGTGTTTTATTTTGTTACGCTTTAATGGTATGAACAACGTACGTTTTCACTCAATGATGTTTAGCGATGCATTTTAATGAATGTGACATTTGCATTTTTCCGGTTTTGACAGTAAAATATAGAAATCTATTATTTTATATATTCTTATTCTTATTCTTATGTTAATGATTAAAACAATAATTCCTTTTTTATCACTAAATGGGTACTGATTATTTTAGTTTTCGCTAAAATGGGTAAAAAATCCAGCTGTAAAATGGATTATTAAAATACTTCGCGCTAACACTTCCAATTTTTTCCGCTAAAATGTCCTACCGATTCGATAAAATGTTCTCCGCCTATGATAGGAACAAGCTGCAATACTTTCTCTATTTTTGAAAGTAAATAATGTTCACGAAAATTGTTTCAGTGAAATAATAATATTTTATTAAAATATGGCCGATAAAATATATTTCTGAACAATTAAAAAAAAAACAAACTCCGACTTGTAAAGTGCTTATGTAGACTATTTTTTTTGTTTCAAATGACTTCCAGAGTTAATCGTTAAAAATCGTCCTCACAAATCAATTATGAAGTTTAGCTGAAATAAAAAATCGGAATTATACAAATTATACATGAACTCCCTTTATATTAATTCATATGTTGTAAACAATTACATATTTCTAATGTAAATACATGGTACTCTAGTATAGATTATATTCAGAGAGAGATTGAATTACCAAATTTTGACCAATCAATTGGTTCTTTATGTCAGTATGTTAAAAATAAACTATGTGAAAGTTATTTAACATTTTGGAATAGACTGAAGTATCAAACAACCAACTCTGAAAAAGGGAAGCTTGGTACTTATTTTTCTATAAAAAATTGTTTTAAAGAAGAAAAATATTTAGAACTACAGGATTTTAAAAAAAGACAGTCAATTTGTAAATTAAGAATACGCGCTCACTCTTTAAAAATTGAGACAGACAGATATTCAAAAAAATATATAGAAAGATCTGAGCGTCTTTGTTCAAATTGCTCACTTGGTAAAGTTGAAGATGAGCTTCATTTTTTGTTAGAATGCCCTCTTTATGATATTCAAAGGGAAGATTTTTTTTCAATACATTTCTAGCAATTGTTATGATTTAAAAAATTTAAATAAATCTTCTAAATTTTTATGGCTCTTGACCCAAGAAAATGTAACTCTTACGGAAAAACTGGGCTGTTATATTTGTGACTGTTTTGAATTAAGGAGATCAGGTATGAATATTGACACTAAGTCAAGTAAATGATTTGAGAATGAATGCATATAATGTAATTTTATTCTTTTATTCACAATATATATATGTGGTTTTTGGCTCTGATTCTGACCAATGCTAATATACTAAATATATATTTTCAAGTGACTATTATTGTTGTTGTTACCAATTATGTAAATCAATTGTATCTGATTTTATGCCCTTTATGGACCCTGTAATTTGGGAAATAAAAATATTCTATTCTATTCTATTCTATTCTATTAATGCAAAAATTGCGCTCAACTTTTATTGGCATAAAATTTCCTCTATTTTGTTTTAACAAATTTATGAATACTTTATCATTATCAGATATTTAACCAAGAAATTACTGGGAAGAAAAACTAAATTCAAAGGTGAAAGTTAACAAAGAAATTATTTTCCAACATTATTAAAACAATTTTATAAAACAGTACCAACTTAAGATATTTATGTGGTGAGCATTATTTTGTGAATAAAAAAAGTTAGTTGCAAGTTGCGTTTGAACTGATTAGATGCCAAGTACTTTACAAGCATTTTTTTGGCAAAACTATTTCGGTTTCAAATCTTGGTTGAAAAACTTGTTCTGCCCTTTGTATGAAAAATATATATTATATATATAGAGATAAGTTTAGGGTCCCTATCCTCAGTTCTGACGCCTGCTTGATAAGAACCCTAAGCCTTCTACTAATTTGGAGGTCGATGGGCAGAGAAGATATTTAATTTTGTCATTTTCTTATCGTGAATTAAATCTGGTATATACTTTTTAAAAACTTTTCCAAATAAGACACCTCTAAGTTTTCCTTTTTTACAACATAAAATGAGACAAGTTTAATCCTCCATTGTATTACAGAATGAACATAGTCGTTTTTCTCTAGGAATTTTTAAATGCCTTCCCTTGTCTATCAATAAAATTTTGTAATATAACTTCTTTTTCCAGACTTGGAATTTAAGTAATTTTTCCTTTCTAAATTTGACTTCAAATTTTCGAAAAGATATAATTTACTATTATTTTCTTTTTTGTCAAGTTTTTGTTCATACATATATTTTTTTGTAGGAATTTTCAAAAAAATGTTTCAAGTCTTTTTTTATCAACTTTGTGTGATTATTAGTTGTAGGCCTCAATATTGGGTATTTTATGTTCACCTCTATTCAAATATTTTAGCATAGGAAAACCAGGTATAGCAACCTGATTGGTCGAAACTTTTAGAAAGTAAAAAAAAGATTATATAGTAGAAATTGTTTTATTTTGGTGACGGAATGGAAAATATTTTGTAGCCTTCCTCAATAAACTTGGTTCGCAAACTGAAACGTTGATTTGCAAAATATTACACCGCTAAGAGTATAAATGGTGTTCCCAATTTTTACATTTATAAATTTTTAATTATGTATTTTATTGTGTTCAAAATTTTATTTTCTTCAGAATTAAAATATTTAAATGACTATTCACGAATCACATAACAGAAACAAATGACAATCATTATCAATTTCATTTTTACATCTACCATGTAAATAAATATATTATCATTCTCCCACCCTATTACCGGCTATCGGTACGGCAGATAAAAATAGGCAACATAGATCAAAATCTACTGTACACGATTGCAAAATCCTTTGTATTACCATGGCAATCGGAAACACAGAAAAAACATCTGCTTTACACGATGGCTATAACTATTGTTTTTACAAATCCTATTGTATCTGCCCTACCGATCATCAGGTGCTTGTGGAATGAACCCCCCTTTTTCTTAATACTATGTCCTATTAGTTTATGTTATTTGTATGTGTATATCCTTAATTGGGTTGTTGTGCATTAAGAAAGATATTTTATTTTTATTTCAGACTATATAATATTCAAATTCCACTAAATTTTCCATTGTAGACTGGTAAATTTTCCTTTGTAGACTGGTAAATTTTCCTTTGTAGACTGGTAAATTATCCTTTGTAGACTGGTAAATTTTCCTTTGTAGACTGGTAAATTTTCCTTTTATCCTTTGTAGACTGGTAAATTTTCCTTTGTAGACTGGTAAATTTTCCGATCATTCTGGTTTGATTGAAATCTGGGATAATGCACAATACGCACTGAAAGAGGAACAAGTGGGGAAACCTCTCACACCTTTGATGAAGTTTCGCACACGACAGAAGTAAGTACAGTACTCAATACAAAAGTCACTAAAGAAATTAACAGACATATTGTGAATTAAGTAAAATAAATTGTAGACTGTCAGTCTGCATTGAAACCTTGCTAAGGGAGTGAAGAATACCCTTTTTCACGATATACAACGATTTGCTAAACAATAAAAAATATCATATTGTGTTCATGCAGTCAGGGACTAGTCAATGAAAAAAAAATAAACACTTTTCTCGTTTTTTATATAGATTAGACCGTTGGTTTTCCCGTTTGAATGGTTTTACACTAGTAATTTTTGGAGCCCTTTATAGCTTGCTGTGCGGTGTGAGCCAATGCTCCGTGTTGAAGGCCGTACTTTGACCTATAATGGTTTACTTTTATAAATTTTGACTTGGATGGAGAGTTGTGTCATTGGCACTCATACCACATCTTCTTATATTTACTTAACCAATTCACATTCTTTTCAGCCCTTTGGAGAATCAAATAAGGGGAAACAGCCGAAATCAGAGGGAGTATGGGAAAATTAACTAATTTGTTAAAATCTGAACCAAACTTATTATTAAAGTGATGTTTCTGCAGTCTCCGAAAGAGAAACGAAATATACCAAAGGGACGTTCAAACTAATAAGTTAAAAATAAACTGACAACGCCTTGGCTAAAAAAGAAAAAGACATAAAGACATAAACAACAGTACACAAAACACGCCATTGAAAACTAAAGACTGAGCAACACGAACCCCACCAAAAACTGGGGTTGATCTCAGGTGCTCCAGAAGGGTAGGCAGATCCTGCTCCACATGTGGCACCCGTCGTGTTGCTCATGTAAGTACAAACCCGGTGATAAATCTTAATCGGTAGTTCACATTCGGGGAAAAGAGGACGGGATTGTGGTTACGATAATTGGAACATACCCGTCGTCATATGTGAAACAGGTATTCCATAATGGTCAGCAAACTCGTGATGGCGTCCGTATCATTAATGGTATTAATACCACTGGGTCAATTCCTCTGCTGGCGAACTGTTAGTCCCCGAGGGTATCACCAGCCAAGTAGCCAATATTTCGATACTGGCATACAAATACGGATATTGTTTTATTTGAATTCGCTGTTATTAAATTTCGAGTTGATTTTTAATTAATTAAGGAATGTATCTCTCTTATGCATAGCTCTGATTTCTTGTCCGGTTTGGCTATACATTTGGTACGTTTTTGTTTTTTATTAGCTCTTCAACGTTTGTATAAGGTTTTGAACTTTCAAATATTTTGGCTGCAAGCATCAAAGAAGAGACATTTTTAAAACTGTCGTAATGCCCATCCGGTAAAGTGAAATTGATACAGTTAATATTATTCCAAAACTCTTAACTCTAAAAGCTAATTGCGTGAAATTTGTGCACTTTAACAAAAAGTAAAATAACAAAAATACCGAACTCCAAGAAAAATTAAAAACGGAAAGTCCTTTATCAAATGGCAACATCAAAAGCTCAAACACATCAAATGAATGGAAAACAACTGTCATATTCCTGACTTGGTACAGGCACTCTCTGTCTCTCTCTCTCTCTCTGTCTCTCTCTCTGTCTCTCTCTCTGTCTCTCTCTCTCTCTCTCTCTCTCTCTCTCTCTCTCTCTGATATTTTTTGATAGCGACTATGAACATTGTAACAAGGTTCTTGTATTTCTATAGATTTCCGCCACCTATTAATATCAGCCCATCTGGTGGAAGACCCACGACAAAACTGTCTGATCAGGCAAAATCTGTACTTAAATCATGGTGGTCTGAAAATTCACAAAACCCTTATCCTACACAAGGAACTAGGGAGGAGATTGCGAATCGAGCAGGCCTTACAAATTGTCAGGTAAACTTAATTTGAACTTGTATTTATTTGACTAAAACCAAACTGGTTTTAATTTTGTATAAATAGGAACATATTGTGGACATATGATCTGTATTTTAATTAGATTGCCAAATGATGTGGATGTAATCAATTATAGGTCACCGTACGACCTTCAACAATGAGTAAAACCCATACCGTTTAATAAGATATATAAGAGGGCCCGACATGACAAAATGTAAACGATTTCAAATGTCAGAGACACCCAAGGACCTGCTTAATGATAAAACATTAAGTATGACAGACAGCAATCAACGGGCAATCACTAACTAACAGGCTCCTGACTTGGGACAGGCACATTTACAGAATATAAAATTGAGAATGGAAATAGGGAATATGTCAAAGAGACAACAACCCGACCAAAGAGCAGCCAACAGCCGAAGACCACCAATGGGTCTTCAACGCAGCGAGAAAATCCCGCACCCGGAGGTGGACCTCAGCTGGCCCCTAAATGTACTAGTTCAGTGAAAATGGACGTCACACTAAACTCCAAAACATATAAATGAACTAAAACTAAAAAACATACAAGACTAACAAAGGCCAGAGGCTCCTGAATTGGGACAGGCGCAAAAATGTGACGGGGTTAAACATGTTTTGTGAGATCTCAACCCTCCCCCTATACCTCTAGCCAATGTAGAATAAAGAAACACATAGCAATACGCACAGTAAAAATTCAGTTTAAAAGAAGTCCGAGTCCGATGTCAGAATAGGTAACAAAGGAAACTAAGCAAAATGACAATGATACATAAATGAACAAAGGACTACTAGCAGTTACTGACATGCCAGCTCCAGACCTCAATTAAACTGATTGAAAGATTATGTCTTAATCATATGAAAATCAAGAACAATCCCTCCCGTTAGGGGTTTAGTATCATACCATCATAAAATATATGAGAAGAACATAACCCGTATCATGCCAACAACTGGTTTTAGAATAAATGTGTTTATTTCCGAGGCAAAGACCCTATGAGTGAATCAATATTAATACCAAAATATGCAATCCTTAATGACTTGACAACAGTATCGTAACTATATCCTTTCCGAATAAGTCTGTTTGAAGGTTTGGTTAGCTTTTGATGTGAATGCCGACATTTTTGTGCTTTGTAAAGAATATTATCATATACACAGTTAGTCCCCATGGGAATTCCGATAACCTGACGATTGACGGAATCTCCATAGCGAACAAAAATGTTATCTAGTAAAAATTCAAGGGCAGTTATAGTATCAAAGCAGGTCCAATTGACATAGTTCTTTTGTTTGTTGTTACTAAAAAATGACCTAAAAGAGTTTGAACATATATATTCGCATTCCGACTTTTTAAATGCCCATTTAATAAGGTGTGTGAATTTTTTCTTAATAAGATTATGAGGTAGCGTGGTATATAGGGTAGAAAAATCAAAACTTTGAACCGATTCGAAATCACCAATATAAGCATGCAATTTATCAAGTACTTCCAACGAATTTTTGATACTCCAAAAGTAAATTAATTCCACTATTTTCAAAGGCCTTATTTGAACAATTTATTACCAGGTTTTTGATTGTCCAAGTGTACTAGTAAGTAGAATAGATAGTTTAGTAGTGGAACAATGGCTTGAAGACGAAATAAATCTATATTTGTAAGGAGTTTTGTGCAGCTTCGGAAGCCAGTACATAGTTGGAACTTTCATTGTGTTTGGTTCTGCTTGGCAAGAGGTAGCTAAAAGTTTATGTTTGTTACAGATGTCATTTTCCGAAAATGGAGTCATTTGGAATGTTGGTGAATTCGTGATTTCCTTTTGTAGAACACCAATGTAAAATTTACGTCAAACAATAATGATATTGTTAGCAGTATGACAGAATCCTTACCACCAAAATTAGCCTGGGACAGTAGTGAAATAGCACACTAGAATAACTAACTGTAAAAAACAGTTGGAATGGGTTAGTCTCTTCAAATCGCAACTAAGCAAAACATACTAACAGACGACACAAAATGTCGATTTCAGAGTTCTCGCAGTTACTTAAAACTAGTTCAAAGCTAAGTACGACTAATATAATGTGTTCACAGACTTAAAAATATCATTCGCTGAAAATGTTCACATTGTCACTCGCGGCGCTGATATTTTATCGATATCAATGTGTATAATTCTAATATTCTAATACCAACGAGATTTTACCCTTATAATATATATATATATATTAGCTGCTTACATAAAATTTTATTATATATTATTATTAAAACATCATATATTTACCCTGCTTTAAGTTTTTAAACTAATTAAATTTAAAATATGGAAATGTAATGTGCATAATTCATGGGGAGGAAACGGGAACAGCCAAACATTCAGACCTCAGATGGTATTTTCGTACGCTTCAACCTATAAAAATACCGTATTTGTCATAATAGAATCGAAATAATTCCTTCATGTCATGCTCTATGCTCATTTTAACATGGACAGGCATTATATTTAATCATATTTTATACCTCGCTAACGCTCAGTGTAAAATATCGACAAACATAATGCCTACCCATGTTTAAATGAGCATAGAGCATGACATGAAGGAATTATTTCTTATACCGTGAATGCCTCTGACAGAAATATAAATAGGGAAAATCTGCGTTTATTACATATGCAACACCCAATGTGTTTGTAACAAATTTGTAATAAATATATATATTGCATTTAATTTTAGGTCAAAACATGGTTTGCAAATGCTAGACGTCGACAGAAAATGAGCACAGAGAGAAACCAAATGAACTATGAACTGTACATGAAAAAGAAACGTGAGCTTTTGAGTACAAATGGCACACAAGCAAGGCCTATAACTGCTGAAATAGATAAACCAAGTGCATCTACCGAAATACATTCCATTGACAAAACCAATTTACATGGAACAGGTACAATGCGTATACCTCAATGCACAACGACTACTCCACAGCAGGGTTTTGAAGAATCATTTCAAAGCACCACCCAAGGTCGACACCCGTCACAACCTTTCAGGTATTTTGTTACCATTCCCAAGTTGATGCCATTGGACTATAACAATAATTTTGTGTACGATGGTATACCGGCAGTTCATGGACCGAATTTCAACGAGTCCATCAGCACAAACTGTATTCAAAATTTAACACAACTATGTAGAAACGTTGATTCTAGCGATGCAGGCGACAGTGTATACCAAGAGTTCCAATCAAGAAATCCCATATCACATAATAATGGACTTCGACCATTTGTCAATGTTCAGAATAACTACCATCATGCATTTCGGTACCAGAATATTGATGACACTCGTGTATCATTTGGACCAGAAAATCAGTCCAGTCCAGTACCAAACTACTGGCCACGTGTACGAAACACTGTTCAGAATTGTGCGCAAGTAACCGATACTTATGGCTTAAATAACATGGATGGGAGAAAAAGTATACACATGTGTAACCATAGTGATCACAGACAGGCTTCTGACATTTTTAACCCAAGAGCAGAAGTAAACGACCAGGTCTTCAGTAATCCGGTGTGCCTATCTCAACATATTAGTCCAAGAGTACCAACGTTTTCATTCCAACAGAATGATTGTACCACATTAGTTTCTGACCAAAGTCTAACAAATACCCCTAGGTTATTTTCACGTGCAGTAGATATCTCCACCAAAGTACTAATAGGTAAGCAATAATCAAAGTAAATGAAAGGAATTTTTAAGGGGGGGGGGGGGGGGGGTTATAATATGATTTGATTTGATTTTTGATTTTTGGTGTTTTAACGCCACTTTTAAGCACCGCTTTTGGGCTATTTCGTGGCGGCCAGTTTTTATTGGTGGAGGAAGCCGGAGTGCCCGGAGAAAACCACCGACCTTCGATAGGAAAGCTGACAATCCTAGTCAATTAAGATTGGAGTCGAGTGCACCCGCACGAGCGGGGTTCGAACTCACAACCTCAGTGTTGACTGGCTAGTGATTACAGTAGTAACTACTTAGACCACTCGGCCACCGAGGCCCCTTTTATAATATGTAAATCGGATTCGAGCATGGGGAATTGCTATATTTAAATCTTTTTTTTTCTGGGTGAACATCGATCTGATGATTTAATAGATATAAGAAGATGTGGTATGAGTACCAATGAGACAACTCTCTATCCAAGTCACAATTTGTAAAAGTAAACCATTATAGGTCAAAGTACGGCCTTCAACACGGAGCTTTGGCTCACACCGAACAGCAAGCTATAAAGGGCCCCAAAAATGATTAGTGTAAAACCATTCAAACAGGAAAACCAACGGTCTAATCTATATAAAAACGAGAAACGAGAAACACTTATGAACCACATCAACAAACGATAACCACTGAACATAAGGTTCCTGACTTAGGACAGGTGCAAACAAATGCAGCGGGTTTAAACGTTTTAATAGGCGTCAACCTTCACCCTACTTGAAACAATAGTGTAACATCACAACAAAGAAAGACACTTTTCAACTGATTTTTATAGTTTGACCTTATGTTGTACTGTTACACCATTGTCCCAGGTTAGGTGGAGGGTTGGTGCCTTCAAACTAGTTTAAACCCGCCACATTTTGTAGATGTCTGTCCCAAGTCAGGAGCCTTTAATTCGATGGTTGTCGTTTGTTGCTGTATATCATATTTGTTTTTCGTTCATTATTTTGTACATAAATCATGCCGTTAAATTCCTCGTTTTAATAGTTTTACATTTGTCATTTCGGGGCCTTTTATTGCTGACTATGCGGTATGGGTATTGCTCATTGTTAAAGACCGTACGGTGACCTATAGCTGTAAACTTCTATATGTCATTTGGTCTCTGGTTGATAGTTGTCTCATTGGCACTATACCGCATCTTCTTATCTTTATATAGTATCGTGATGATATGGATAGTGGATAGTTTGATAGTCTCATTGGCAATCATACCCCCCTTTTTTGACGATCAATGATTTTGAATGGGGACATATGGTTGGAATCCCCCTTTTAAAAATGGCTGGATCCGCCCCTGTGTATTAATCATATCAGATTATGCAGCTTGTTGTTCCGTTCTGCTGAGACGGGTTGACTCAGTATAATTCCTTTAAGGATTAGGTTGACTCCACACCTGTGTGAGTACAAATAAGATATTTTATAAGTATAAAATCAAAACAATCGGATTGCTACTAAATACAAACACATATAAACAATAAACAATACAAATATGTAACATTTACAAAAAAAATATTAAAATGTTAGACGACATACATCCCCTTTGAATTAGCATTACAGGATTATATTTAGAATTATTAATCTTTATTGCAAAAAGTAAAACCCTGAAGGGTTAAAATGCAAACATAATAGACATGTACACAAGAAACATACAATACATGAAAAAAGTTCTGAACAAGTCAAGTTAATATTAATAATATATATATACAAGTATATAATATGTTGTGTACAAGTTATCATTTTGTACAAATTATAATTTGTACAAAAATATCGTACAAATTATAATTTGTATTTTGACTTTGTACAAATTGTAATTTGTACAAAAAGTGCTTGTACACATTACAATTTGTACAAAATTCGACTAAAATTCACTTATAGCTTGTACAATAATTTAAAGTATGGATTTTGTTATTAAAAAGCATTGATATAAAAAAGAAGATGTGGTATGATTGCCAATGAGACAACTCTTCACTAGAGACCAAATGACACAGAAATTAACAAATATAGGTCACACTATAGAATTCTTATTCAATGACCACAAGATAAACCTTATTTTCAAAATCTAAAAATCCGCAGATGGAGACCGGAAATATAATTGATACATGCATGCTAGTTAATTCTGAATTTGTTTCTTAGTGTGTATAGTAAAATGGGGGTTTGTCTCAAAGTTGGTAAAATCACTCGAAACTAGGTGAGACATGCGCAGTAGTGATAGATATGTAGTATAAATATAGAAAATTGAATATTTTAATCAACAACAAAAAAAATTAAAAAAAAAATTCTTTATCATATACCCAAGCGCCTGTGTTCTGATAGTATAATAGAAATTGGCCCCAATGACAATTCTGATAGTATAATAGAAATTGGGCCCAGTGACAATTCTGATAGTATAAAAGAAATTGGCCCCAGTGACAATTCTGATAGTATAATAGAAATTGGCCACAGTGACAATTCTGATAGTATTATAGAAATTGACTCGAGTGACGTTGAAACACCATTAATACGTGGCAGGAAGAGTGCGCTGTCTGGCCAACAGATCCCAGCCAGTTTCATTTTACCAATTCCTCAGTATGATCGTGCCCTTACTGATCCTCGAAGTACCTAAAATCTTAGGAGTACTTATTGAATCTGGAGAATTTGGGTACCGCATTGGAACAGCTGTGGGAATTTTAACATGACATTTGTCGAGAAATCAAATTGAAGCTGTTAAAGACACATCTTTATTCGTGAGCAACGGTTCCTGAGCTTCAACTTTCGCTCCGTCAAGCAGTTAAAAAGCTTTTAAAAACTGGTGGTCAGGGGTTTCTTTCATGTAAATGCAAATGGGGTTCAGTACTTTTAAATATAAATGTAAAAAGCAAACAATGTTGTGCAATTCCCGATGCCATAGTTCACTCATATGCTCAAACAAATGATACAGAACTATTTTTTTATAATTGTGTGGTCATTGAATAGAAAATCTAATAAGTGTTTCAATGCTTTTTAACGCAAAATCCATACTATAAATTATTGTACAAGTTATATGTGAATTTTAGTCGAATGTTGTACAAATTGTAATTTGCACAAGCACTTTTTTTACAATTGTAAGTCAAAATACAAATTATAATTTGTACGATTTTTTTGTACAAATTATAATTTGTACAAAATGATAACTTGTACACAACATATATATAATTGACCAATTTGGACCTTATTTTCGCAACTCCATGCATGGAGATGCTGCTTAACTCTATTTTATTCATTCATATACTAGGTTATATCAAAGAAAAAAGGTGTACATGTAAAATCAACAGTTCATACACACTTGCTAATATTGTTTCTGTAATTATACAACTCACTCATGTCATTACCAATAATTATCAAAATGTCATATTCTTCACAAAAGAAAATAAAATCAAATTTTTTCCCCATTACTCATTGATACTTATTCTTATTTTGGCATAATTATAAATAACTTTTTTATCTAAATTTAATAAGATGTCTTTCAATTTCATACTTTACAAAGTGTTAGAACATTAGCTCACAAGTACTGAGGGGTGACCCTCATAATGTAAAACATATAACTTTTTATGCAAAATGTTTTTCCCACCCCCTTAATTTATGTCCCAGTTATTTTTGTCCTTCATCCCAGACGACGATTTGCAAAATCTACATTAAATGTCTATTTGTTTACGTCCTGGATATGCTTGTAGTATTTGCCACTGGACGTTAGGCAAAAATCAATCAATCTATAATTCGATTTATATGAACTTACCGGTCCTTTGAGAAATGCTTATTCTTCATGGTTATCTGTTAAAAATTGTAGTGAGATTTTGGAATACATTGTATTTATTTAAGAATTAAATGTGTATTTAAAATCTTATTGGAGTGTAAAAGCGTTGACCGAAGCACATTTTGTATGAAGAGCATCACATATCAAAAATGTGCGCAATGCTGTATCTTCGACATTCGTAGATTTTATTAACTGCTGATATAGACTCTTTTAGGACGATTTTGATTCAAAAAAGTTATGCGACATTAATTTATTAGTTGTTTTCATCGTAAATACAACTGTATACAAATAAAACCATAGTGCTGGCTTAATTTTATTACTATTTTTATGTCCATTTCATTGAACTCAACTTTGGGTACAGTACTAGTATGTATACGTCATCATCTTTCTTGATTCTTTTTTATAGAAAGCCAACAAATCAAGAGTTTTAATGGTGGAATTCATGTTGTAAATGTCAACAGTCCAGCGCGTCTTTCTCGGCCTAGCTCCTGTCCACTACCGGGCTGTGCCTCGGAAAAGTTGCGCTATTTGTTGACCAACGACCAAATAACAAGATCTAATTATCAAATCAAGGAAGAAAATTATAATAAAAGGTAAGAACTCTGGAGTAATGCTTCTTGAGGTTTGAGATAAGACATCAGTGCTCGCTCACTTGGGAACACAGGTTTGTTTATTAAAAAAAAGTTTTTCCAAGCGGAAAATGTGAACACCGCAAGCAGAAAATACAAATGAGTATATGTAAAAAATTGTAAGTTTATTTAGCACATATATATATTATTGTAGAGTAAGAGCTTTGACAATAACATGTTTACATCATTTTTCAAAGACACGAGATTTGGGGTATATTTCAATGAAACAACGATCCAAAAATATGAAAACCAAAACGAAATGTATAGAGCTACGCGTACACTATTGAATTATAATAGACAACACCCATGGGAACCCGGGTATTGATAGAAGACACATTTTCTCTAGAGAAGGATAAAACAAAACCAAACCCATGTTGGAAAAGTACCATGTTATTAGCATGATAAAGACAACTCCAGTATCATTTGGTAAAGGCGTAGTTTTATAAGTTGCTCACGCTAAGGCTAAATTTTCCGAATCTACACAAGGTTCATATATTTCCTTAATCAATAAAACTCGTTCCTCTTGTGTGTGCCATCCTACCCCTGGCACTAGTTGTAAAAATTTTATTTCGACGATTTCTTGTTCATCGTCTCGATATTGCCTTTTTGCCGGACAGTAACTGTAGCTGTGTCAAAGCCTGTTATCTTATTGTACATAGACGTAGAAATGTTTTATACTGTAAATAACGTACTTATAAATATGTTTTAATAGACGAATTTTCTGTAATGTTTTAATGTTAAAGGCTCTATTTTATATCTATATTTTACTCTTAATGTGATGTTGTATTATATATTTTTGGGAGATGAGACTTAAATAAAATATTGAATTGAATTGAATTGAAATGCTAATTTTATGTTGGAGAGATTAACTTCCCGACTTCAAACCTTTCCGGACGCCGAATAAACCCATCATAGATACTTATGGCTTAAAATTTTGTACTCCAGACGCGTACTCTTTAAAACAATTTGGCATAAAAATATTAATTGTGTATTTTTTTTCAGATACTCAGAGCAAGAAGAGGTACAAACTCACACTAATTGTGAAATAAAACAGGTTTGTATAAACATTGTTATGCTTCTTAATTAAGTTTGTAATCTACTGTGGTGTATTTTAATTATCAGAGCCATGAATAAGGTCATGTTCTCAAGGGATGGGGGTGTATAGACCCAAATATTATTGTAATACAGATCCACAATAGATACGAATAAAAAAAAAAAAATAATTAAAAAGACTATATATATAAGATAGAGTGTGTCCACGCTCAAAAGTAAGCAGAGTGGACCAGAAATTTGTAATTTAATCAGAATATGTAGACCGCAGCAGCTGAATGGTTTTTCATGGAATACTCCATTCTTAATGTTTCTAAGATGTTTTGACTGTTTTCAAAAATAACAATTTATACGTTCCCTGACAGTACTAGAAACCAGAACATGATACATTATGTGAAAGGGATAAAGTAATCAGGATTTTAAAATTTTTTTAGAACTTGATATTGATTGCGGGTTTTTGACGGTTTTTGTTGCATTTATTCACAGTTTTTTTCTTTTTTTGTTGTTGGCTCAAGACGATTTAGAGCTTCTTCGTTATTGACGTATAACAAAAATCTCCTTTTATTCGTATCCATCTACATGAAGACCCTCCTACATGATTTCATTGAATTTTAATCATTTTTTTTAACAAATGTTAGATTTCCTTGCTAGTAACTTAAAAAATAATATGTCATTAAAATGGAGAGTTTCATATAGGACCTCACGGAATGAAATGTAAGGAATTATTGTGTGTATTTTGTACGGTAGCTTCGCATTTTGAACTCTCGCCTAAAACATATGAATTTATGCCATTTATTATGCGGTCTTTATTTGTTGATTGATTGGTTAATAGTTTAACGCAACCTCAGCACATATAGCCCATGTCAAGGCGAGAATGAATTTTTCCCAAATTACACATTACTTTTTATCTTTCTACCTATTGAAGCTATACCATTTTCAAATGCAACGAAACCAACGTGTTTTTTTTTAATATGGCTTTAGAACTTTAATCCTCATCCGGGATACTTGCAGTTTGATTGTTTTCTGATTACAGGAATTTCATTAGTTACTTATAAATATTACAACTACGTATACATGAATTACTCTACACTTACAGATTTATTTTATTACAGGATACTGAAGAAAACGATATTGCAAAAGTCCTACTCGACTTCTCCAGCCAGTCGGTTGATTCCTCTCAAGACAGCAGCTGATTTGAAATCAGTACATAGCGCCCGTCATTGAAATTACAAACAGGCTGCATTTTGTAGTTATGTTGCACTGGAACACAGTGTGTACGTGGGATTGTGCCACCTTTGTGTTGAAAATGATGATGTAGCGCAACTACCAACTTTATGATAAAAACATTATGTTTAGATTGACGTTACCTCCGTTGTATATACAATGCTTTCTCTCAAATTGTTATTGGTATCGCGTTTAATAACATATACAAAGGTTATGATTCCAACAATTTTGTAGCTCTTTTCACTTTCTGTTATAAAAATATAGGATACTTAAAAAAAACAATCGTAGAAATAAATTAGATCACACAAGTTTTTAAAGACAAAAAAATGTGTCTTACTGTATTTACACTAGTAGAATAGATAGAATAGTTAATTGGAATCTTTATTTTCAAGTTCTGAATGTATTTAAACATTTTTGTAGATTAGTGACCACAAATTTCATTTTTTTTTTTGTTCTTTGGTCGTGTCTTGTTATTTTGTGCATTAATAACATCTTCGATAAGACGTTTTCCTAAAAAGAACTTAGTCAGCATTTTGGCCAAATTGCGTCATTTTTTAAGTATCACTCAATTCAAATTAAGGATATTTAAAAGGAATAGAGAAAAATCTTCGTAGCAAGGAATAAAATACTCTGTACATAAAATACGGACACCTTGCATTTTTGTTTGTTAAAAATGAGATCAAGGAACGAAGTATTAAATTGTTGTGCCCTTTACAATATTGTTTGCTTGTTACAATTTTTAATGGATTAAAGTTAAATATTTTTAAATGTCGCAGACTTTTTATTCAAAAAGAGAGTATAAAGGAAATATAGATATAATTTTGTATCTTTGCATTGTTAAATAGCCTTCAGTTAGTTTTTGTCTTCTTAGTGCTCTCTTTACGGAAAAGAAGAAATTGGGGAACAAATAACATACATCTAGGCAGCGGAAAGTATAATAGAATCAATGTTATCAAGACAATGTACTTGTCTCCCTTTTCTCTTGTCATTCGAACCGCTTAAGAAGTCCGTAATACACATTGTAAATTGTCATTTAGAAATGCTATACAATAGGTCCACCAATTGGGCATGCGAACCACTCTTTGTTTATGAAGATTCTTTTAAGATTCAGATTTCTTGTAATTCCCCAACCTCAACATGATTAACCAGGCGAAAGTGTTTTGTAATTGAAACTGTATGACTTAATTTAAGTGCATATGCACTAAAAAAAATCTACTAGTAGAGTTGCAACCATCCGTGCAATGACATGTACAGGAAGATAATGTGTTTATTATTTAATTCACATATATAAGAGGGTCTGGAATGAGGTCCTTCATTTCTCTATTCTTTACCTTTTTATATTATTTTTCTCTAGCCTTATTTTTTACCCTTATTCTCTTTTCATTATATTCCAGCACCCCATTCTCCGTTCTTTATTTTTTTTGGCCAATTTTTCTCTATTTTTTGCTCTTTATTCTGCAATTTTTACCCATTATTCTCTATTCTGTAAACCCCACCAAGACCCTCAAATAACTATAAATTGTTTATTACGGAAATTTCATAAAAAGGAGAATGATCATTGGTTATAAATAATTGCACCCGACAACTTAAAAATATTATTCATTTAAAAGATAAAAGTAAACAAAATACTTTGTCCGTTTTGTCTCAACGCCCTTTCAATGTTGTTTACATAATCAAACGGTACAATGATGAACAAATTCACACACCCACTTTATCAGAACACTACTCGGATTAAAATCGACTCTATCAGAAGATATTTAAACCATATTGAGTTGAAAAGGTAGCGAACCAGGAAGATCTGTATACAAATATTTTCTTATTAATTTTATCAAATTATGAAAGATTTAACACCACTTGTAATAACTTTGGGGACGACCAAATATTTCGGTCAGGTAGCTATTCATAAATAGTCCACATTTATCTATTCCTGAATCAAACTTCAGTTGATTAAATTTCTCTATGTTGTCACCATAGGTCTCTTTTATGACATCAACGATCCCTGGTATATCTGTATGTCGCTTTGCCCAATGGGGACGTATTTTCTCATGACGAAATTGCTGGACAAACTATAAAAAAAGAATAAACAAATGTTACTTGGTGATATTTATTTTCTTCAGCATATTCTGTGTGGATAACATTTTTGGGGTTTTTGTATTAAATCACATAATAAGCATACAGTTCTATTATCTATAATGATTGATTGGCATACATTTGGCTTTTATGAATTTTTCAAGATGTTTTGTTATTCAACGAAATATTTTATCTTACCAATGTGTAAGGTCAATTATGCTAAGCGGAACACATATACGTTTACATGTTTACCCTAGCTGCCGGGAACCTTAGCTCTTATCGTCCTTTCTATGATTTTTTTTTAATTTGGGGGTCCGCTAAATTGTCTATGATTTTTTTCTTTTTAATTTCGGGGTCCGCTAAATTGTCAAATTATATCATTAGGACAATAAGGGCTGCGGTCCCGCAGCTTTGTCTATCCAATCTCCTCGTCTTGAATGTGTTTGTAATATTTTCCACTTGTGGATGAGACTAGATCTATCATTAACGTCAACGTGCTTTATCTTTCCCCTTGCAAATAATTGTTTACTTTGAAGGAAGGAAAGGCGTGTGAATATATTGATACATTTTTTTTCAATTCAATTATAAATTCATCAAAATGACGATTCTGATATACCATGTAAATCATACCTTGTTACAGGAGATTGTTTAGTATGATGGCTAGTGAAACGATATTCTATGAGGTTCTGGGTGGGGTTTACAGAGTAAATAAATAGGCCTAAAATTCAAAGAATACAGAAATGAAGGACCCTTCCCCATCCACCCCAACCAACCAACCAACCAGACCCTCGTATATATGGCAAAAAAACTCCGGGAAATAAATAAAAAGTTTGCTACAAAACGTACCCCTGTTAGAATTTATTGATACAGACCTACTGTATAACATCAACGGGAATACATCGAAGTACCATTTTTCTATGCAATTTATTAGCATGTTAAGATTTGTCTTCACCATAAAAATCAGAGCCTAAAGTTCTACCAATCACGAAAGTCGATATCATAGTACTTACATTTGCTGCTGTGTCATAAAATCCGAACTGTGTGGGCGGGGCTAGGAAGTCGATCACCATAGAACGGCCAGTATCGTCGACTTGCTGAATTCCGTTGTTTCCAAAACACAAATAACAATCCATGTTTTGAAGAAATCGTGGAAGGAAAGCGTTCATCGGAGACGATCCTGACGTTTTAACTTGGTTTTCTACTTTTTCTGCCATAAACTGCAATAGGAAATATTATTGTCACAAAAAAGAAAAGGCTTTTTTCTTTACTTATTCAATGTTTAAGAAAAATATAAGATGGCACGTTAACTGTACTGTTTATCGAAAAATAAAAATTCTACTGAGAAGTTTCGTATACCTTTAGGGATCTCGGTGGCCGAGTGGTCTAAGTAGTCGACTAACGGATCACTAGGCTGTCAACACTGAGGTTGTGAATTCGAATCCCGCACGCGACAAGTGCGTTCGACTCCAATCTTAATTGACTAGGATTGTCAGTTTTCCTACCGAAAGTCGGTGGTTTTCTCCGGGCACTCCAGCTTTCTCCACCATTAAAAACTGACCGCTACAAAATACCAGTAGTACCAATAGCGCTGAAAGTGGCGTTAAACACAAATCAATCAATCGTATACCTGTAACATTCAGTGTAAACGTGTCAATGCACTACAAACTTTAATGAATTATATGAGTTGCTTGATCGAAAAAAAAGTTAAGAAGCCTTAATGACAGAAAGAAAAAAAAAGACAAGAAAACTCTATACACATAAAATCCTAAATAATATGGACTTGAAAAATGACCGTAAAACTAAAGCTTTCTTCATTCTGGCATGCAAGGGACACACACTCTCTTCTTACTTAATATGAAGCAGAACTTCGCCCTTTTCTTTGAAAGAAAGAAAATCGTCTTCAAAATATATATTTTGCACCGCTACGATCGCCGTTATTTTTACCATTGCGGACAATTACGCCACCTTACCATAAACCTTGGACCAACCCCTGCTCAGTTTTCACTGTAAACTTCCGAGACTTCTGCCAGGGGCGAAGCTGCCGTTATGCACTTTAGGCACGTGCCTACACATAATTTTTTTCATAAATATTTTTTTTTTATTAAAAAAAATAAACAACATTATCTGTAGATGCACGCCAGTGAAGTTGTCAAAACTCTTTAATTATCGAATGTCATGTGTACACTTGTCTATCATCCTTAGTGAATGGAGTATGGATAGAATTGAATGTCATTATATTCCCCCTTATATAGAAACTATAAAACTTTGGTTCAGATCATTTCACTTCTATCAACAAATACTTGAATGAACCTCCACTTAGACACATGATTTTTTTTAATTAGTTAAAAACTAATATTGGCTTTCAACTACTTTTCACTTGGTCTTCATCCGACCTACAATAAAACCCTTGCCAAAGTTGGGCGTCCATTTGGCTGTGCAGGATGTATAAATACGCAGTCACGTCTGGTCAGAATGGGGACGTTAAATCCTATGCCTAGTGTTGAGAGAATGCCACGCTCTCTGCACGTTAAGAAACTTGCAACAACTCTGAGGGGTTCTTATGCGGTCTACTGAAAGGCAAAATTTCTGTTTCACCCAATAAACCCAAGTTTCGAATGCATGGCGATTCCAAATTTCCAGACCGTCGTCCTGGACGACCCCTTTTACAGGACCTAGCTACCTGTTGTATCTATTGTAAATTTGTTTTTGTCCTGAACATGCATGAACTATTTGCCACTGGACGTTTAGCAATCAATTAATTAATCAACTAGCTCTAACGGTGAAGGTTTCTTTTAAATGTACATTGTCGGATCGTCAATATGTAATATCAATTGACGTATGTATCAATTATCCTCAATCAGAAAGGAATAGATATGAAAATACTAAACAGGTTGCGCTGCTTAATAAAGGGCTACGCTGATCCACGCTGGGCAATGCATATTGTTAATATTTATTTATATATATTTCCGATTGTACTGCCAGTTAATTCATCAGTCAGATGTAATTGTAAAATTATGTATATTACAATTTCTTCGAAATTTTTTTCATGTATATTATCATGATTGATAAAATGACCAGTTTTCATGTTTTTCTGTACACCAAATTTTGCAACTAAAATTCTGAAAACTGTTTCCTGTCGGGTGGCTTCGACCCCCTGAACCCCCTACCAGGGCTCTGCCCTGGACCTGCTGGGGGCCTTGAGCGGTCCCCAGACTCCCTGCCGCAATTTGTGCCTACAGTTAATTGGATACATAGCTACGCCCCTGTCTGCTGACTCTCATCACATGAATACTATTTACCTTGAATGCTCGGAGTGGACGTGAAAATGAATTATCAATATTCAATACAAAAGCGGCACTGGTTTCCGATCCATGCTTCGGTGGTAAAATGGTGGGAAATGCATCTACCAAGTAATGATAACTCTCGGACGGAAGCAGCTTTGCTATGTTCAGTGCACCCTAGAATTAAAGCTAAATGTATATCAGGTTTCCTAGTATTTGTTTTATTCTCTAATGTTATATATTGTCATATCAAATGTTTATTCCCTTCGGGTCCCTCAATTGGAGTAAAATATTCTTCTGTTGCCTAGTTGCCTAGCATTTAAGAAAGAAAACGAAAGAAAAAACAAGCTTATATTTTTTTTCTTATTTTTTTTTTGTAAATGTTACATATTTGTATTGTTTATTGTTTATATATATTTTTGTGTTATTTAGTAGAAATCAAATTGTTTGGATTGTATACTAATACATATCTTCTTGCTATCGTGGCATCGTTTTGACAATTAAAATGTGATGGTTACGCCCTAGTATTAGAAATTAAATCACGTATGAAACAAAATAAGAAGTCATTGGTTTAACTTGGTCAACAAAGACTTGAACTGACCTTTCCTCTCAGTATTCCTGTTTCATTTCCACCAGATATTGATCCCCCGGTTGGCAAATAGACTGGACCTTGTATCATGTGATTACCAGGTACAGCATCAACCAATACAATTGTCCTGTTGAAGAGAAATCATCTAATTAGTTCCTGGTATTGAAAATGAAAATATCGGTCACAGTCACGGTAATATATTTATCAATTATGGACTTTTTACGAGGTCAATATACGTTATATATGGACCTGTTCAGATGATATTGACAGAGGACGAAGTCAATACGTTATATATGGACCTGTTCAGATTATATTGACCGAGGACGAAGTCAATATGTAATATATGGACCTGTTCATATTAAATTGACCGAGGACGAAGTCAATACGTTATATATGGACCTGTTCAGATTAAATTGACCGAGGACGAAGTCCGTGGTTCAATATAATCTAACAGGTCCATACATAACGTATTGACTGAGTGAAAGTCCTTAATTTATATATTACATGTGTCCAGTAAATAGTGTATTATGGAAACGAACCTTAACGTTCTCTCTGTGTATTTTACATTGTATTTTGCAAGATTTTTAATATTGACAATCTATATAAATAGAAACAGCATTTTGCAAGATTTGTTATATTGACCGTCAATATATATATATAAACAGAAACATTGCGTTTTTCAAGATTTTTTATATTGACCGTCAATATATATAATTATATAAATAGAAACATAGAGTCCATATCCTGTCTAGATCCTTAATTTGCATCACGTGATCGTAATAACCAATGAAAAAAGTAGAATCCTACACCATATGTAATATTTATATTGTCAATCGAGGCGAAGCCGAGTTTACTATAGTTTACTATAGTTTTAGGAACTGTAAATTAAAAAAAAAAGTTTATTCTCTAGTGAAACTGGTTCATTTTTTTCTCTTTTTGGTGTTTAAGCGATTTTTGTCGGAGCTCTGTTGATTTGAATTCGACGAACCATTATTTTTTTTACATTCAGCAAACATCTTATTTAAAAAAAATTAAGATAAAGAAGACCCCACGAAATAATGTTATAATATGCAATTATGATATTCAACGATGAAAAGTGCACGCTACCTATACAAGTGTGATGTTTATAGCAATTTTAAAGAAACTAAAACCCCTACCTAAGCCATACAAGGTCCCTTTTAACTGTCCAAGAATTGAGAACTGTTTTATTATGCCTAAACACTTCTTCCTCTTCTGGAGTCACAGAATTAAATGGATACCAAGATATTTCCGTTAGGAAATGTGACGTGACTACGTTTTTCAAGTTAGTTTGGTTATAGAACAAATCTTCTAACGGTACAAATTGATTTTGTACTTTAGCAATAAGCGTCCCGTTGACTTGGATTGTGATGTCATACATAACTCCCATCATTCCAAGATTACACATTAGTGCCTTCATAAGTTCTGGACGTTTTTCTTTGGAAAAACGTAGCAAACGACCGCGAGCGTTTACTAAGCGCATTTCCACCACATAACCACTCCAAGTTGGAGCACTCCAGGATGAACCCTAAATGTAGGAAAAAAACATTAAACTTTATGTAAACAGTCAAGGGAACTTTTACCTGTAGTAATACGTACCGAACGAGAAACAAATGTTTTAACAGACAAAATCCAATCAATAGAATAAATCTCACTGGTCATTGGAAGTCAATTGATTATTAAAATTTGCGGGAAGGGAAGTAGTGTTTTTATATATATTTCATCAAATTCGATAATATGATGGATGTCTTAGAAAATTGTAAGTAAGATCCAATCAAATGTGTTCAAAAGAATTGGCTTTATACACGTGTTTTTCTTTAAAAACATTCTCTTTACAAAATATAAATAAGATGTGGTATGAGTGTCAATGAGACAACTCCCCATCAAGTCACAATGTATAAAAAGTAAACAATTATAGGTCAAAAAGTACGGCCTTCAACACGGAGCCTTGGTTCACACCGAACAGCAAGCTATAAAGGGCCCCGAAATGACTAGTGTAAAACAATTCAAACAGGAACACCAACGGTATAATCTATATAAGAAACGAGAAACACCTATGAACTACACCAACAAACGACAACCACTGAACCACAGGCTCCTGACTTAGGACAGGTGCATAAAAATACAGAGGGTTTAAACGTTTTAACAGGCGCCAACCTTCACCCTAACCTGATACAGTAGTGTAACATTACAACATAAAAAGTAAGCATACACAAAACGAATAAGTTTGATCTATGACACAATATAAATACAATATTAAAACGTAGGTGCCTAACATAGCCGTTACAGGTATTAATAAAAAAAAAGATGAGTAAGAGTGTCAATAAGCCAATTCTAACCTGGGACAAAATGGCGTTAAATAAAACAACGTACACAGGTAAATTTAAATGTAAAATAATTTTGTTGTTAGGAGTACGGAAATGTTTTAACAAAATTTATAAATTAGTTGTCCATTTCACCTGGTAAACGATCAATAACTCATTTAAGCAGCTTTTGTCTTCCGTCGGTGAAATTTGCTGCAACTATGAATATTTATTACCATCATTAGACATTTTACTACTATTAAGGCATTTCTTTCTTTGTTTTTATTAACCTGGATGTATAGCAATGTGCAAATTGTGGTTACTTACATTCCAAATTATTTTTTAAAAATAGAAATCTTCGTACCTCACTGATCGATTTGTGTTGCCCCACGGCACGTGTTCCTACAAAAATGGATCACATATATACTTACATGTGTAGATGAGGCTACCATTCCACCAACTGTAGCATTGACAATTAGAGGCTGTGACAACATGGAGAGACCATTCTTTACCAGAAACTTATTCAAGTCATATTCTAATACTCCAGTTACTACAGTGACGGTATAATACGACCTTTCTGAGTTCTAAAATAGCATACTAACATAATTTATTATCATGTTGATGGAAATGACACCATTGTGCGAAGAAATGTTAAGGAAAATAAAGAAGAACTGGTAGGACACATGAGCTAGCATACACTCTTTTTCTAGTGACTAAACTTTCCTCTCTTTAACACTGTCGACTCAATCAACATAAATCTTCCTATTGAATTCATTGTTATTTTTTTCTCGTCATGAATATGCATAAATCGTCCTGAATTTGCATTAATCCTCCTGAGTTTATGTATTCGTGATTGATTAACACCCTCTCATTTTTCGTTTTAATCTTTAGATTTATAGGTGCTGAAAGAATCATTAGAATCTTTGGGTTTTTGTTTTGATTATTGTTAACTTAAATATATAATATTCACCGGTTTGTGAAGTTCCATTCGAGGGCCATCATGACGCTCTAGCTCTCTGACATCCATAGAGATCTGCCCTTCATCCGGGTACAACGGAGAACGTGTATGACCGCCCCCTGTTGCCCGTATGTGAATTCCTGTCATGGCCGCTGCCTTGACTACTCTTTGAACTTCCCAGATAGTTTGAGGTTTCACATAGAATAAATGGTCAATTATGATAGTTTTATCCCAGTTAACAAACTGTCTTATATCTACCCTTGGACCTCTAAGTCCAATAAAATAGTCCAATAGTCTTAACTGACTTCTCATCCTGGCATAGACGGCTGAAATGAACACGTACGTAATGTAAATCTCAAGTGTTTTATGCTGTTTACAATTACTTCAAACTCAATCCTTAGAAAAAAAACTGCATTGCAACTTTTTTACGTTTACAGATTAAAATAATCAGACAATTGCCCATCATTGTTTACCGCTGCATTAGAATGAAATTTAAAGTATACAAGTTTAGTTCACAATGTCGTAGACGCGTTTGTAAACTCAGTTTAGAACCACCAAATCTATCTTCATTGCAGCAAATACCTAGTGCAGTCTTCCCATATTATGTAGGATAATGTTGGCTTATAGTAGTGACAAATCAAGAAAAAAAGGTGCTTATTTTACGACTTTAATGAACCGGCATTACTTTAGGCATTACATGATTTTTTTTGCAAAGCCAATACCTAAAGCGTACTTTTTTTGCTCTGTCGTAGCCATTTTCTATGGCGCATTTTTTCATAAAATAGAAAGAGAAAGAAATCTTGATGTCTTTATTCGAAATGCAACCCGACAAAGTCTGTTACTTTTGTTGTTTTCTTATAGTCCCCAAACTCTTGATTTGATATTTTATATAGAGTTTAAGTGCTGAGTCATATTATAAAACTATAGTTCCTTCTATTTAGTCTGATTTTTGTAGGTAGGACGGTCCATTAAAGTTGAAAACTTGTTGACTTGGTCATTCCACTATTAAGGTTGCAACTAGATTCTTTCTGTTAACGGACACAATTATTACAAGGTAATGAAAAGTAAAAGAGAGGCGAAAAATACCAAATGGACATTCAAACTCATATGTCGAAAATAAACTGACTATGACATGGCAAAAAAAAAAGAAAAAGACCAAAAAACTAACACCAGTATACAAAACACAACATACTTCGAATATTACTAGAAATAACTTAACAGTGTATGGTTCTGTCATAGAATGGTATAAAGGCATAAAATAAATAATTGATTGGTTGTAGCAGGTAAAACGTCCAACTACAAATATTTTTTGCATATTCGGGGCATCAATATGTAAACACTATACCACGCGGAGGATCTAAAATGGGGGACCAGGATAAATTATTTGCTTTATAAATTACTTAAGCAAATAAAATGTATGCAAATATTACGAATAACTTATTTCTATCTGAAATTATAAATAAAGTATCTATACAAATAAGCTTACCATCGCTTCTTGCAATTTCGTCCATCTCGGCAACATTGTCCCCGGCAGCTCTACGATTTCTAGTGTTGTAATTTTCTTTCGCTTCATTCTCTGGTGATAGCATCACGAATGAAAACAACATCAGTAATTTAGGAGCATTCATATTGTATTTCTCAATTTCAGAGATAAACAAATGTTGTTGTAAAATCAATCTGTATTTGATGATCTCTAAAGAGTGCAATTACAGCGCAAATTTAGAGCTGTTTCTTTTTTCTTTTTTTTTTATCTCCTATCAAATATTCCTTCCAACGGGTTTCAATTTTACCCTTATATATATTTCTAAGCTTAAAATGATGGTATATGAAGCCGTTTTTATATTGAAATTACTAATTTATCCGCATCTCACGTTTCATGTGCATGAATGTCTGTTTAAATCTGAAAAAGGGGTGCATACATCCTGGTTCTGCATCACGATAACTTTGACCCAGGAAGTTCAGAAAACAAATTAAAAGTAGAGGAGCACTTCAGTCTATGGAAATTGCGAGTCGAGAAAACTGTTTTTTATGTGAAGTAACTTTAATTTCTAATATTATATGGTAATTATGAAGACACTCCATGATAAAAAAAGATGTTTTCGACAATGAAAAATATGTTTGATATTAAAAAAATATCAATAGATCAAGTCTGGAATAAATTCACGCGACAAACAGGAGAGTTTTGTGTATAACTATCAATCAATAGAGTCTAAAATCGGTTATTACTTGCCTTTCAATGTCGTTTTAAAGAAAAAGAAACAAGGCTAGATTTATTTGTGAACTCTCAACATATCGTTTAAATACAAACAAAAATTAAGTCCTGAAATATGTTCAAAAGTAAATTAATAGCAAGTTTGTGTCCGTGGAAAAATTGTGCTATGTTTTTCTTTTGAAAAATAAATGATTAAATGCTATTTATTTCATTGTAGATGCAGTATTTTTTTAGTGTTACTACAGTAGTTTTTTGTTGTAACTAAAAGTTTTATTCTAAATGAGGTATCAATTTGGCTCACTGCTGAACGTAAAAAGTATTTTGTTAAAAGCATCTTTCGACCTGAAAAGCAACGGAAACCTATATTTTTGGATTACTGTTCTAATATTTTTTCTTCAATTCTAGCAAGGTTTCGTATCTCGAAAAAGGCTACTATTGCCGCATATGGGGAAATTAATCTATAACAGGCTAATAGAGGAACAGTCAGTTAATGAGGCCCCGGACAGAATAGAGAATAATGGGCATAGTTTACAGAAAAATGGACAAAAATAAAGATTAGAGAAAAAATAGGGCAAGAAAGAATAAAGAATAGAGAATAATGGGGTGCTAAAATATAAAGAATATAGAATAATGTGCAAAAAATATAACAAATAGTGAAATGTGACCTAAAATTATAAGATTATATTGTCTGTCTGGATATTTCTTTGTATCAAGAATAGTATTTCTCTGTCTGTGTGGATATTTACAGCATGACCTATGATACAATCGAATAATTCGGAAGAATAGTCACAGTAGCTACATTAAAATTCCGCCAAAGCACCACCATTTAAAAAATAGAATTACTCAGTATATTCATCGACTTGGAGTACAGTGCAATATTGAAAGGGGAAATCAAAATTTATCGATTCTCAGTCAAACTCAGTAAGGATCCGTCTGAACTCCATTTAATTGATAACTTTAATAACACGTATTGTTACCTTGACGAAGTTTTTGTTTTAAATAATCAAGAATTCTGTATTTATACTGAAATGTACCAAAGGGAACTTCGTTTAAATAAATCTGATATTTATAGCAATTATTTTCCTTTTCTAAATTTGAATATTTCAGTTTCACTTGGGAAGATGAAAGCTAAATTTTACGATAAAACGTTTCCTATAGTTAATTTTCCCTTCTTTTGGACAGTGATGATCCTTTGGTCTCTTCTTACGGTATATATATATTTCTCAACTCGTTCGCTATGCCCCTTTCTGTAGTGACTATGGCATGGTATTGGTTGCAAAAATTTGATATTTTTCATTTAAATGCAATATATCTTATTTAATTGGTATATTTCTTCATTTAAATGCAATATTTCTTATTTAATTGGTATATTTCTTCATTTAAATGCAATATTTTTTTATTTGAATGGTATATTTTTTCATTTAAATGCAATATTTTTTTATTCAGATGGTATAATTTTTCATTCAAATGGTATAATTTTTCATTCAAATGGTATAATTTTCATTCAAATGCAATATTTTTTATTCAAATGGTATAATTTTTCATTCAAATGCAATATTTTTTATTAAAATGGTATAATTTTTCATTCAAATGGTATAATTTTTCATTCAAATGGTATAATTTTCATTCAAATGCAATATTTTTTATTCAAATGGTATAATTTTCATTCAAATGCAATATTTTTTATTCAAATGATATAATTTTTCATTCAAATGGTATAATTTTTCATTCAAATGGTATAATTTTCATTCAAATGCAATATTTTTTATTCAAGTGGTATAAAATGTCATTTGAATGCAATATTTTTTATTCAATTGGTATAGTAGTTTTTTATTTATATGCAATAATTGCATTATGGGAAATTCTTTTACGTCATAAGGTCAAATTTGCAACAACGTTTGTGATTGGTCGGAAATTGTTTGGATTTCTCCCCTTTCTTTCTAAACATGGGTGACCAAAAATAAAAAAAACGCGTCAGAATATCGCCCCTCTAACTAAATCTAACGTTCGTGCGAGTCCTGCACTGGCTGTTAAAATCTTGTGGTCATAACTAGTATTTCTATTGCAAAATTTCGATGGTCAAAACGTTCGGTCCACTTTTCAAAAACCGTTTCATTGTATATGGATTTATATGCAAGTATATCGGTTTTTTTAAATAGATTAGACACCGTTGGTTTTCCCGTTTGAATGGTTTTACACTACTAATTTTTTGGGTGCCCTTATAGCTTGCTGTTCGGTGTGAGCCAAGGCTCCGTGTTGAAGACCGTACGTTGACCTTTAATGGTTTACATTTACAAATTATGACTTGGATGGAGAGTTGTCTCATCGGCACTCATACCACATCTTCTTATATCTATATACAACGTCAACCAGACGTTTCACAGACTGTTTTATTTCTTATTCTTTAACTTAGAGGCAAAAAACGCCAAATATTGGTAAAAGTCGTCATTAAAGCCGAGCAAAAACTCGAATAACGAGACGACTGACGATTTCGACCATGTTGACTTATTTGTAGATCTTAATTGTCTTGCTGATCATTTTTGCTATTAAAAGTGACTATCTATCTGTTATGATGGTTTTCAAGATAATAGGCAAAAACACTAAAAAATGTTAAAAATCGTCATTAAAAAACAAGAACTTTTATAATAAGTCGACTGAAGATTTTAGTTCTACTGACTTATTTGTAGATCTTGTCTAGCTAATAATTCTTGCTATCTAAAGTGTCTATCTTTCTATTATAGTTTTTTTAGATAATAGGCAAAAATATTAAAAATTCGTAAAAATTGTCATTAAACATGTAAAGAGCAATACTCCAATAACGAGTCGACTGAAGAATACTTATTTGCAGATCGTCTTGCTGGTCATTTTTGTTATTTAAAGTTTCTATCTATCTATTGTAGTCTTTAAGATAAAAGACAAACACGCAAAAAATGGTAATAATAGATAACACTTGCAAATCTTATTTGATCGTAACGGAATATTTATATCATAATATCATGCGAAAATATTCCGTTCGTGATTAATTGGCACCTTTTCATTCTTCGTTTTAATCTTTCGATTTATAGTTGCTGAAATAGTCCTTAGTATCTTTGTTTTTCTTGTTTTTTGTTTTGTTATTGGGAACTTAAATTATATAATATTCACCGGTTTGTGAAGTTCTATTCGAAGGCCATCATGACGCTCTAGCTCTCTGACATCCATAGAGATCTGCCCTTCATCCGGGTACAATGGGGAACGTGTATAACCAACCCCCGTTGCCCGTATGTGAATTCCTGTCATGGCCGCTGCCTTTACTACTCTTTGAACTTCCCAGAGAGTTTTCGGTTTCACATAGAATAAATGGTCAATTATAATAGTTTTATCCCAGTAAACAAACTGTCTTATATCTACCCTTGGACCTCTAGGTCCAATAAAATAGTCCAACAGTCTTAACTGACTTCTTATCCTGGCATAGACGGCTGAAATGAACACGTACGTAATGTAAATCTCAAATGTTTTATATAAAAATAAGGAGATATGGTATGATTGCCAATGAGACAACTATCCACCAAAGTTCAAATGAAGTGGATGTAAGCAATTATAGGCAACCGTACGGCCTTCAACAATGAAAATACCAATACCGTATAGTTGACTATAAAAGGCCCCGACATGAATAATATGAAAAATTCAATTGAGAAAAGTAACGGCATAATTCATAACCAAACAATTTACGAAAAACAAATAGGACACACATGAACCAACGACAACCACTGAACTACAGGCTTCTAACTTGATCTGACATGAAAAATATGAAACAATTCAATTGAGAAAACAAACGGCCTAATGTTTAACCAAACAATTTACGAAATACAAATAGGACAGACATGAACCAACGACAACCACTGAACTACAGGTTTCTAATTTGGGACAGGCACATAAAGAATATGGCGGGGTTAAACATGTTTGAAGACGCCAACCCTCCCCTAACATGGGACAGTTGTGTAACAGTTCAACAAAAGAACAAAACAAAAATCAGTCAAAAAGGGCTGAGCACATCAGATCGATACAAAGCAGAAAAAAACATCCAAAAACAGAGACCGGACGTGGCAGGGTATTTATACATCCCTCACAACAAAAAATACACAAAGTACAGATCTGAGAGTACTCGCAGTTACTCCCAGCTAGTTCAATGCCGATGACAACTAATAAAAAAATCATGTATCTAAGTCTATTTACAATTTCTTCAAATCTTTTAAACTCTATCAAATCTTGACAATTTAAAAAAAAACTGCATTGCAACAATTTCACGTTTACAGATTTCAATAATTAGACAAATGCTCATGTTTACGGTTGCATTAGAATGAAAATTACAGTATAATGCAAATTTAGTTTACAGTTTGGATCCACCAAATCTATATTCAATGCAGCAAGTATCAAAGTGCAGTCACCATATTATGTAGGATAATGATGGCTTAAGGTTACACTAAGATTCTTTCCGTTGTCGGACAGAATTTTTCAAGGTAAAAGAAAGTAACATGCATCGAATATTACCAGAAACAGTGTATGGTTCTGCCATAGAGGGATATAAACGCATAAAATAAATAATTGATTGATTGATTGATTGGTTGAAGCAGGTAAAACGTCCAACTACAAATATTTCGTGCATATTCGGGACATCAACATGTAACACTTTACCATGCGTAGGATCTAAAATGTGGCACCAGGATGTATGAG